AATTGCCATTTGCCGCGGCAATTGCCAGGCAAGAGCACTTTTGCCGCGGCAACAAAGGCCCGACAACGACAAGAATACTGACACGATTTGAACATGGCCCAGCTAGTTATTCTTGCCGCGGGCAAATGTCCCGGATTTTTCGGCCCAGGTTTTGCCGGGGCATGCCGCGGCAGTTTAATTTTGCCGCGGCAAAACGGAATATGCCTCGGCAAATCGACGGTTTGAATACTGACACGAATACCACCCTACCGCTCGGGACACTACAAACGCGGAGGCCCTCGGGGTCATTGAATGAAATCCGGTATGTCCTCGCACGTGCTACATAACATATATTATAAGTGTAGCAGACAAACACTCGCAATCCGTAATGGCGGGTGGCCACACAGGAAGAGGGCTCAGTCTTACCTGGACCTCTTCGTCTTCAATCACAGCCTCTAGTACCAGCAGAAGGGCCTTGAGGCAGTCCACAGGAGGAATCTTCTCCAGGTCCACCCTGAGAAATGCCACCATGTTCCCAATTGAAACAGAGAGAGAGAGAGAGAGAGAGAGAGAGAGAGAGAGAGACCTGGCAGGGAAGACGACGATGGTCCTAGAGCCACACTTGCTGGGGGTGTCCAGGAGGGCAAAGAAACCTCTCTGCAGCACATGCTGCACTGACTGAAGACTCAGGTCTCCCAGCAGGTGTGAGTGCTTGTGTCTGTACTTGTAGTAGTTGAGGTAAAGCTGCAGAGCCCTGTCCACCTGAAACTTTCTGGCTCTGAGGAACCGTAGGAGGAAACGACTGTCTTTGCGAGAAAATACTACGCCATGAAAGTCCGTGTTCTTCTCGGCCTCCAGGATCCTCAGTCGCAACTCGCGGACCTTGTCCAGCCGCTCCTCCGGAACCTCAAACAACTCCTGCATGAACGTTTGGACCAACCGTCGCAGGTTTAGACACAACTATTACCTTCTTTGCCTTCTCTAGAGTGGTCCCACTGATGGTGGACAGTACCTCCGTTGATGCCTCATTGCTCCGTCATTTACTTCAGAGCCAGCGGCGGCGTGAACACGGACACGACTTCAGGACCACCGTTTAGCCGTTCCCCTACGTTCTCCTGCGGTTTGCAAATTTGGAACAGCGAGTACTATGCCTCCACAGCTATAACTGTCAGCATCCTGTGATCCGTCCGCTTTTGGATCTAAGCCGAGGTGTTTCTCCCAGGCCGACAATGAATTATGCCACGCCCACCTTCCCACCTTTGACCTCATAAAACAGGGGTGTATTCTACACGAAGTGAGTGTAGAAAAAGGATGGACCCTCGCCAGAAGGAGTTCGATGCGGCGTTAAGAAAGCTGACTCCAGTTTTCCAGAGACAGCTCGCGGCCAAAGACGTCCGCCATGACCTGTACGGCAGAGATCAGTTGACGTGGAACGAGTACGAACGAATAGGTGAGAGAATGTTTCTCGTGCGGGGGGCGTGCCCAGCGAGTAGTTGGGCGAGACTAAATCTGGCCTACTGCTGTGTGATGGATATCTGCAGCAAAGTTACCTGAAACACAGAACGTTTAAACTCTCTGCTATTTTCCTCATACTATGTTGACCTTGTTAGTGGTTGTGTCTTTGTGGACCAGGCGTGGCAAGGACAGATGGAGAGGCAGCTGATGAGCTGATGAAAGCTCTCCGTAGAAGAGATTCGCGTGTTCTGGACATTCTTGTGGAGTGCTTGGCTGAACAGCAAGAGGCAAATGCTGATCTCATCCACAAAATTAGAAATTGTGAGTTATCAGTAATTCTTCTCCAAACTCTGACCTATTTACCTGCAGTCTTCCCTGAGAAACCACGCCCAACTCCACCCCCTACTAATGACCCAGAGCCAGTGACTACCTACGACGACTGGCCTGCTCCTGTGGCAACCACACCCACTTCCCACCCCCCCATTCCTCCTCCTCCCGAGGTAAGCATCATATGACAAGTCACATGATGTGTCACGTGATATGCGGCCCACTCCCCCTCAGGAGGGTACGGATGTGGGGAGGAAAGATGCCTACAAGATGTCGAGCAAGCCGCGAGGCATGGCACTCATAATAAACAACCGCAACTTTACCTGTGGCATGAAGGAGAGGGTGGGGACTAACAAAGACGCTGAAAACCTGTTCAGCCTGTTCAACTGGCTGGGGCTGGCCACCATGCGTAAGGACAACCTCACTGGGAAGGCAATAACAAAGGAGTTTGAGGTGAGAGTCCAGATTTTAGTTCTTCTCTGTTACTGACTTTCGCCCAGGATCTGTCACGTCGTGACCACTCTGCTTACGACTGTGTTGTGATAGCTCTACTGACACACGGCATTAGCGGCAGACTGTACAGCACTGATGGTGACCTCGTCCCAATAGAAGAACTCACCAAGTAACCCTGCCACTGGCACTGTTCCCAGGGTTATCTTCGTGTTTTGCAGGTGTTTTGATGGCGTCAATTGTCCCTCACTCATTGGGAAGCCAAAGGTGTTCATTGTTCAGGTGGGTCCATGGAGTGATATTGGGGGTGTGGCTAGTGGGTGTGGTCTCCCTGCAGGCATGTCGGGGAGGCAAGTTTGACTATGGAGTAGACAGTGAGTCCACAGATGGAGGTGACACTGCTGCAGATGACAACGAACAGGTGAAGGAACTTATGGAAAAACAGGTGACACAAACACTGGAACAGCTCTCTAGGTGACACCCCTAATAGGCACCTCTATAAAGGACACCAGTTGTAATTTAGCCCTGAAACAAGGGCAACTCACTTATGCTCACACATTCCTCAATTCCACTGGTGTCAACATTGTGATTAGTCCTCTCAGTTCGACAGAGTCATAGAGAAGGCTCTGGATGCAGACGAGACTGACGGTGGAGGATACTCACGAGAGGCCCTGCCAACTGAGGCTGACTTTGTCTTGGCCTATGCCACAGTTCCTGGGTGAGAAATGGTCCAAACCCTCTCTCCCATATAGCATCTCCCCTTTCTCCCAGGTACGTCTCCTGGCGTAATTCAGAGTACGGGTCGTGGTTCATCAAGGCATTTGTGGACACAATGAGAGAACTGGCGAGTAAAGAGCATTTCATGGACATCTTGACTGAGGTGAACCGCAAAGTGGCCTATGACTTCCAGTCACGTGGTCGCAACAAGCAAATCCCAGCGCCTGTCACTATGTTGACTCGCAAGCTGTACTTCAGGCCAGGTGGCCGATGAAGATGTCCCACTTCACCCGACAACCACTAGTCGTGTTATTATAATTATGATGCAAACTCTGCTACACCATTATTCTAGACAATTACATGTTTGTATCCTCTTAGTATTGATGACTACAGTTTTTTTACTTCATCAGAGTATATACCTATGTAGCCATTACATAATATAGTGCATGTGCCATTGAAAATGAAAGCTATGTCGATCTGTGTGTACAGTAACCAGTGAATTTGACAACAGCATGAGCAATACGTAGCTGAAAATAGTTACTCTATTTCCAAAAGCAACTTAAACATTGAAAATAAACAGCTGATCATGTAGGCAATGATTCGTGTCCACAAGAGGTTGTTTGTTAGTTCAAGGGTCAATGAAGGAGACCACGATGTATCGTGTGCCACCAGTGACAGTGAGTCCCTCGTGCCAGTGGGTGAGTCTGCCCGGGTGCATGAACGTCCATCCTATCTTTGTCTCCACAACACTGCAGTTGTAGCGAAGGAACCGACAACCACCTCCCTGCAGAGACCACACCCACTAGCCACACCCACTAAGAGCAGATGAGACTCACCTGGTGGTCGACGCCAAGGCGAGTGAGGGCCACATTGATAGTGAATGTGGAGGAATCGTGATGTGGTCTCAGATTAGACTGGCCCTGGGGGTGGTACTTAACCACAAAGTTCATGATGGCATGACCCTGCAGAGTGTGTCATGTGATAATCACATGATCACAACAGACCACACCCACCTTGGAAAAGTATCCGGGGAAGACCTTCAGTTGTACTGGCACTACGTATTTCTTGATGAGCTCAAGCCACTGTTTCTCAAACCCAATCTGCAGTCAGTCGGTGTAGTCAGTACACTGGTAAAATGGAGTATGTACAGGTGGAGAGAAACCTGGTTCATGTGGATGTCTCTAGTCGGCACATTCTCATAGCCACCACTGACCCTCTCATCATAGTTAGTACCACCACTCCACTGACCAAAGTGCTCCATCTCCTGTGATGTCATAGTGATGTAACACTGGTCATGTGACCTTCAGCTAATTAGGCTCACCTCCACCAGCTCATCACAGAATGCCTCCGAGATGAGAGGGTACCAGTACACATCAGGACACGGGCTGGGGGGGGGAAGCCACAAGTTTGTACTATACTGTTAGTCTAAAAAGTTTATTTCACCACTCATGCGAATTCATAGGGTGGGCATTAAATAGAATATTTTGTGAGTAAACCCACCCATGGTGTACAACACTCGTGAAGTGAGCAAAAAAACAAAAAAGCTGCTGAGGCCAGGAATCGAACTGGAAACTATGCATCACACCAACAGCATTGTCCCTCTGGGCCACAAGGTACACACTATTGTGGTAAAACCTATACACGAATGTATGAACCTAACGAAGTGCAAGATGGTCCAAATTTGTCACATTGTGTTTCCTTCACACGTTACCTGTTCTAGAGTGTAGTTTTCCTGCAGAACTTGTAACCAATCTTTGTGGACGTACTTTCTCTCCCAGTCCTATAATTACAGTAGAGAGGACGGGCCCACAATATGGTTCAGTAAAATACTCACCAGGTTATTGTCAAACATTTGGTACATGTCACCATGGACACGTGAGGCATCATAACTGTCTCCATTGAGAAGGTGACCGTAGTCATGGAGATTACTGACGTACATGAAGTGACCCTAGAGGTGAGAGGAGAGAGAAACTCAGTGTGACAGTGTGGGGATCGGGCTGTACCCTCTCTCTCATCCACGCAGCAAAGGCCATGTCACTGTCAAGGACTTGGCTCTCCCAGGAAGGCAGGTCATGTGCATTTCTCCTCAGCCAACTTCCAGATATCAAGATTGCCTGGTTGATGAGCGGTACATTCCACACACCCCTGCCAAACAGAGACGATGTCATAGCCACACCCACTGCCACACCTCCACTTACCTTCTCTCGTTGCCAATGATAGTGACATAATCTCTAGATCTGGCATAGAATCCGTCAGAGGCCAGGTCGCCCCAAAAGTTGGAGAACATTTTCTCTGGTCTGACTAGGAGAGGTGAGACTACGTCTCTGCCGAGATATATAAGCTGCTGCAAGGTCAAAGGTGAATCTAGCATTGCCAGCGAGTCGAGGAGGAAGACATAGTCACATGACATGTTGAGACACGCCTCCCTACGGAGAGATCTTATACCAACTGACGAGCGGAAGAGAGAGTCACTTACAGGGCCTTCCTCTTGGCGTCAGCAGTGGCCACGCCCACTGCTGGAGAGATGTAGGTGGTGTTGGCATACCCGCTGCCCACTACCTCATACCAGGCAGACAGCAGAGGCTCGTGGTGTTGTGCCTGCAAACAACACAGGCTGGTGGTCGAGGGCAGCGAAATAGAGGCGAAATATGGATTATAGAGAAATGCAAAAATGGTGCTGCTAATCCACCCGCCAACTATTATCAAAGTATTGGGGATGGTTGGCTTGCCATTTCATTTACTCACATGCCTGCAAAAAATGCAAAACCTTTCACAACCTTGGAGGTAGCTTGAAGAGACAGTGACAAAGAGGAGAAGCAACTGGCTGACAATCACAGTGTTAGAAACCTGGTTGTGTATGAAGAGAGAGAGGCGGGAAAGAGGGTAGTCCAGAGATGTCACTCTCTCCAACATATCTGACAGGAAGGGAGAGGGAGAAGGCACAGTCACGGCAACTAGCACTGCAGGCCAGGCCTCCTTGTCCTCTGGCAGTGGAGAGCTGGTCTCCTCACATCCTCTGCACCCTCCACTCTCAGACCACACACCCGGGACATAGTTTGCGAGGTAGTTTAGGAACACCTGTTTACACCCAAAAAATTTTCAAACAAATTCCTCTCAAGAAAACACCCCAATACCATTTCATACTGGTGCTAAGTAATGTGGTATGATCTTCTGTGCCTATAACATGGAATGCTAATGCAGTAGGAAAACGGGGAAAAAGAGGATTTGGACCTGACCCTACCATCAGGGCCAATGACGCTGTGCACTCTAGAATGTGGCTTATAGTGGGTACTACGCAAATGTTTACACACGGTCATTTTGCTCCTGAAAAAATGAACAAGTTTACACAATTTATTTCCAGACCTAAAAATGGTGGTAAAGAAAGAGAAAACATCGTAATAAGAATGGACCTTGGAGGGTCCGTTGCCATGGAGAACTGCTGGTGTGGTGTCGTAGATGCTATTGATAACAGTGGCATCTGTTGAGTTAATTCTGAGATCAACCTCATCCTTGGCTCCATTGAGGTTCTGGAAGAAATGAGACCTGTGGTCCAGTCTAATGCCCAGCGATGTCTGGTAAGGGGTGGTAAGGGAGAGAGAGTGGGGATATTAGCTTTGGTGTACTGTTTTGTATGAATGTATATACAACAGATGCTCGATGCCAGATGCACAACAGATGCTGGGGAAAGTGGGATACTACAAGACACTAACCCTCTTTCCCTGGTCCAGGTATATGTTGGTATAGTAGAGTTGGTCATCATCAGTATCGTCAATGACATGGTCTCCCACAACTGCCGCCACCTCCCTCGCATAGCCAATGAATCCTGGGGTCAGAGGTCAATATGAGACCTGATGAGCGGAGCTTCACTAACCTCCTGAACATAGGAACCTCTTTCCCAGACCGACACGAGGGTACTTTGACTGAGGAGAAGAGGAATGGTAAGAACAGATTGGGGGGGATGGAGGGTGGGTACCGCTAGAGAGACGTCGGGCCAGCAGAAGGATTCTGCAGAGAAGACCAGTCTGCAGTCAAAGTCTAGGAACTTCTGCAGCATCTGGTCTGGTCCCATAGTCAGTACCACGTCATAGCTGGAGACAGAGGCACACTGAATTACTCCCTCCCCTCACCCACTGCCTATTACATACACACGTACATGTACGTACCCAAACAATGTCGTCATCTGTACATACATAATCATGTGGAAGAAACAAATGCTTCACCTGTCCACAAACATCACCACCAGCCCCTCATCCTCCTGCCACTTCTCCACCACCGGACGCAACATGTTGACCTTGTGACCTCCGCCAGGGAAACGAACAACATCTCCTCCTCTCCACGTCACATTCATCCCCACAACCTAACTCACACATCACACCCTCACAGGAGGCACGCAAGTCACAGGCTCCACCTACCTCTACATCAATGTCAAACATTTGGGTCGATCGCATGAACCTCTTGTATCCATCAGTTTCATTGGTTGCTATGGTCACAACCTTCAATCGAAGACCTTCTGCAGATTTGCAGAAAATTGCTTTAGTGACCTGATCACGTGAAAATCCCTAAGCTAGCTGTTCTCACCTTCCGTATCTTGTGTCATTACCATGACAACGCAGAGAAGAACAAGGCTGCAGACGTTCCAGCGCATTTTCACTCAGACCAAGTCGGAACCTTCCGCACCTCCTATAGAGCTAGCCGTACTAGCGGGTCAGAGTCTGGACATAACAACTAACCTCAACAAAAGGTATTGTGCCTTCTTACCGTGCGCAAACACGTGCTATTTTCATCCGCGCAGGATTCAAATTCATATTCTGCCGGTCGCTAAGCAACGATACAGTGCGGCAAAGATGATGACGACGACGGGTGGTAGTCGTAGAGGGCTAGGGAGTATGAGAGGAGGGAAATGGGAGCAGCCTGGCTGGCGGATAGAGCAGAGATTTTGTCAGGGAGTTCTGATTGGCAACTGGTCTGAAGACAGACTGGGGAAGGTGAGCTACAATAGCGGGCCCTGTGTGAGGTGATTGAAACATGACCTCCTCCAGTTTCCAAAGGGAAATGAGTTTGGCAACAGCACAAGTCGCGAGGCATTTCTTAAGTATCCACATTCAGTATACATCCCAGACAGTGGCACTCGTCGAAAAGGAGTCCTCAGAAATTATGTGAGTTGAGGCAAACCCTCGCAAACACTTGATATTCTCACTGTCTGCATGCAGGGCCTGGGACAGACACACATCTTTGGTCACCATGGCAATGCCTACATGCACAACAACATTTCCACCTATGACCAGCACTTCAGTAGATGTCACTCCACTGGTGAGTGTGTGCGGAGTCAAAATCATGTGGATGTAGTATATTATATGCACATTTCCCAACAGGACAACAGAGAGAGTGGGACAAACATTGGCTGTCATGGTTACCTGAGGCTTCAGACCATCCCACCACTGGTATTTCCACTTCTCTCCTCCTCTATAATGCTGATGATGGTGCGTGTGGCAGGTCTGCCAAAACGATATGGTCTGAAGGAAGCCATTGAGGAAAAGTGGCGCAGAATTCGTGAGATTGAAACTCACGGAGACTACCACTCCACCTACTCCACCACCTTCCGGTGAGGCCACACCCACTGATCATCCAAACTTAAGCTGACCCTTCCACAGACCTCCTGCTGCCTCCTCGGAGGACAAAGGTCGTCGCTATGCCACCCCAAGGCATCTTTCCTCCCACCTACACCCTCACCGTGGGAACGCTCACCTGTCGCTCAGGGGTGTGTCCCATCTACAAGCCCCTGAAACAGTGGACACAAGGCTTCTGAATGCCACTGTCTAAAAACATGTCTACTCTTTTCATTAATCATTGCCACGCATGCGAGCAGCAAATACCTTTTGACGTCTGTCGCTGCTCTTATGGAAAATAATAATGAGGGTATCACAGAGATTGTAATACCATTGGGACAGTCAAATAAGAGTGTTCAACATTCGGGGGGTACAAGGTGGAGTGTACAGGACTGTGTGAGGCCAGCCTGCTGCAGAGTGAGAGAAAGATTCTTCAACTCTCTCTTTGGAACCTCACTGGTGACTAGTGTCCAGTCGTGTACTGGTCCTCCACTCAGAGCAGCTGCCACTAGGGAGGAGAGAGGGGAGGAGGTGGGGAGAGTGGAGCTGATACGACTGCCATCTGGTAGCCGCAGGCAAACTGACACTGAGAGCATACAGAGAGTGAGACAATGCACCATAATAATATAGGGAGAGGTGTATAATATACCTGTGGACTCAGGAACTGACAGTTGCACACTCTGTGCAGAGCCAATAGGGGGGAGAGGCTTGTACCTCTAGTAATGTAACGAGAGTGATTGTTGTCACTGCTGTTGGCTCACATACCTGGAATAGGTGAGGATCACCAGTTGTTCGAGGCAGTCTGGCGAGCTCTGTTGGCAGGGTCTCACTGATCAGAGAAGGTTTGGGCAAAGACTGCGATTGGCCTGTCTCACCTGCAGGTATAGAGAAATGCAGAAGCTGACAGCTAATACAGCTAAAGTGAGGCTCACGTGATAAATCTTCTTTCTTCACCGCATCTTCCGGCCTCCGGTGAGCTCTCCTGTACCTCCTTCCACGGTGGTGCACCACCAGCGAATCCCCGGCAGCCATATTGTGCGGCTCGTATTCCCGTAACCATAGTGATAATTGCGGCGCTGCGCCAGCAACGTGCTGGTGGTGTGCGTTATTTAGATAGCAATGGCGGACCTTCAGGATGACGAACTCTACCTTCCCCGCAGTAAGTATTGCTGACTATATACATTAGGAAGACAAGCTGTGAATGGAGGTGTAGGCCGTAGTTGCATCATGAGCTGGTCTCTGTTTTCTCTCAGCTGTGGTAAACAAGTTGATCAAAGAAATGGTTCCCAATATCCGCGTCTCCACTGATGCCAGAGACCTTCTGTTGAACTGCTGCTCCGGTTAGTAGATCCCTTTCATTATCTGGCTGATTGGCTCTCTCTCCTCCAGAGTTCATTCACCTGTTGGCATCTGAGGCCAGTGAGGTCTCCGAGAGACAGCAGAAGAAAGTCATTTCACCAGGTGAATATCTACCAGCTCTCAGTTGCCATCTCATCTTCATGTTTTGCCTCAGAGCATGTGCTGGAGGCGCTGGCTACTCTTGGGTTCCCTGAGTACATTGAGGATGTGAAGGCAGTTCACAGAGAGTACAAGGAACAGGCGTCTGTAAGTCACACCAGCTCCCTCTCTCCCTCGTTTGGGAACATTGCTGTGTAGAAACATCGTCGCCGAGGAAAGAGCCGACTGGAGAGACTCGGCATCCCAGAGGAGGAGTTGCTACGACAACAACAACAGCTGTTTGAGGAAGCCAGACAACAACACCTAGAGGTGGGTGTGGCTAATGCCGTTGTTTTCGTGGCAACTGTTCCCTACTCTCAGAATGATATGATGGAGCAGCAGAAACTGCAGCAGGCTGCTGGCCTCCAGACCACACCCCCTACCTCGTCCCCTCACTCTGAGCCTGCCCCTGATCCTCCCTCCCACTCTACCACTCCTGCTCTCTCCTCTTCTCAACAGGTCCACCTTTCATCTTGAAATGAAGAAAGATAAACTGAATCTCGAAATTTTCCTGCAAGTTCTTAAAAACCCTGCAGTTGATGAGAACTCTGTATCACACAGTACTACATGATTTTTCTCTTACTGCAGGTCTTGGTACCTCAGCAGACACAAACTCCCTCTTCCTCGTCTTCCTCGCTGCAACCAGCCAGTCTGCAGGTGACGGCCTCTCTGCTCCAGACACTGGCTGCTAGTCAGGCGTCCTCTCTGCCTCATCACCTCCTCCCTCTCACCCCCGCTGTCCTGCAGGCTGTGCAAGGATCCTCTCTACTCCAGGTTTAATGTCCAACACACACACGGCACAACTTACCGTCCGAGGCAATATCTCGTGCAACTTAAAATGTATGGGCATGATGGGTCCACATGGAACCCATTAATTTATGTTACATGAAACTTTCGTCTCGCACAAGTTGTGTGATGATGCTGGGCTTACTCCCTCCCCCACAGCAAGCCAGTCAGACGGTGAACCTCCTGCAAGCTGCCAGAGCCACGGAGCTGCTGCGACAGCAGGTGGCAGCTCAGCAGGCCTCTCTCCAGCTCCAGCTTCAGCAGCAACTGAAGACAGAGACTGATGGGTCAAGTCGACCGGAAGACGAGGACAGTGGCTAGTCTTCATCGCTGACTTTTGTACACTATTGCACTCATTTTCATTTGCAACAATATTATATGACTGTACTATACTTTAAGTGTGAGTCAAGTCAAGTGTATCACTACATAGTTCACTTGGAGCCTCTGTTGCTGGCCCTGTGTAGGCTCTCCAGAGCTCTGGCCCTCAGTTCTCTCTCTTTTTGGTCCTCTGCCACTGGAGACCGTGACCTCCTCTTGTGGTGACGGTGCTTGTGGTGATGTCGGTGCTTCTTCTTGTGCTGGGGAAGGGAGGGAGCTAGAGAGGTCAGGTGAACATTGGACCATTGGTTCTACTGAATATCAGAGAAAACATAATTATATGTACTCTTGTGTAGAGGATGGACTGTAGCAAAAGCCATCAAACTTCAATGTATGGGTATAATGCTTCATGCAACAATGCCCTCCATTTGCAACTCTGTGTCATGTCACACCCATACTTTTGAACCTACACAAGACTTGGTTTAGTATCCTGGCCTCAGAACCTAGTAGAGCCCACCTTTCTCTCAGTATCGTGCTCTTCCTCAGAGTAGCTGTCCCTCTCTCTGCTGGGCACGGGTGACACGTGTCTCTTGTGCTTCCTGTGGTGTTTGTGTTTGCTCCTCTTCACCTTCGCTGGAGGTGGCGATGGGGAGGGGGAGGGGCTTGAGGACGAGCTGCTGTCACTTTCACTGACAGAGTGTCTCCTGTGTCTGAGAAGAGACACATCACTACAGAGTGTGACTCTCAGACTCATGACTCTGACCTCTTTCTTCCTTGCCGTCTGTCAGTTGGAGACTCAGCTCTGCGACCTGCACAGTCAGTATATACACATTACCATGTGTGCAACAATCACAGACACATTTGCCTGCCTACTAAAACCACTTCTTCAGAAAATAAAAGTATCCAAATTCTCCCCCCTCACTTTCCGTTCTAACAGGGTATGTACCTGAGACTTTTTGTGGGCGTGGCTCTTCCTTGAGTGGGCGTGGCTCCCCAGCTGAGTTCTTGCTGTTCCTGGCAGTCTTGGCCGTCCTGTGAGGAGGAGGAGGAGGAGGAGAGAATGGAGGAGACAGCGACGACGATGAGGAACTTTCAGAGGAACTGGTGGATGCTGCTCTCTTGCGAGGCTTCTCAGGAGTCCGTGACCTTTTCCTAGGTGGTGGACTAGAGGTCACGTGACCTTGGCCACGCCTACTCCGAGGAGGTGTGGTAACCTCAGATCGAACTTTTCTGCTCTTTCCCTTCGTCACAGGAGGAGTCCTGGGCGGAGGACTTAGGGACTCAGAAGATGACGAGGTGGGTGTGGTCTGGGAACTGGACTCCGCATCCGAAGACTCGTCCTCTGACGAACTTGACTCCGCCTCTTCCACGACCTTTGACCTGTGATCAGGCTGAGGGGAGGGGCTCTTTGCAGATTCACTTGAGCTGCTCTCGTTCTCTGACCGCTTGTGAGGAGGTGGAGATTGTGGGCAAGAGGGCTGTGGTTTTTTAACATAGCCCCGCCCCCTGCGAGGGGAAGGAGATACTTTGATTGGACTCCTAATTGGGGGGCACACCCTCTCCCTGCAGATGGGGACAGAGGATAACAGTCACTGATATTACCATGGCAACTCACTCATTTGACTGTCGTGAGCTGCCACTGAATTTCTGTTGCCGTGGAGACCTGTAAACAAAGATTCCCCTAATCACAAAAATGAGAGGAACGTTCTCCTCCTACCTGGAATGTCTCCTTGGGGACAAAAGTTCATCACTATGACGTCCACGAGCATGACTGCGAGAATCCATATGACGTACTTCACGTTGACGATATGATGTTGAGTGACGTCTGTGAGGAGAGGGAGAGCGGGGACGTCTGTGAGGGGAGGGAGAGCGGGGACGTCTGTGAGGGGAGGGAGGGCGGGGACGTCTGTGAGGGGAGGGGGGGCGGGGACGTCTGTGAGGGGAGGGAGAGCGGGGACGTCTGTGAGGGGAGGGAGGGCGGGGACGTCTGTGAGGGGAAGGAGAGCGGGGACGTCTGTGAGGGGAGGGAGAGCGGGGACGTCTGTGAGGAGAGGGAGAGCGGGGACGTCTGTGAGGAGAGGGAGAGCGGGGACGTCTGTGAGTAGAGGGAGAGCGGGGACGTCTGTGAGTAGAGGGAGAGCGGGGGGAAATTGGTAAACTTTTGATATGGATTTCAGAAATATCGGTGCTGCTTACTACTAGCAAAGCTTTGCGCATGCGAGAGTGTGTCAACTAAGCAAATATAGGGCCTGACCTTCCAGATGATCTGGAGGGCGGAGGAGAGGAAGAAACACGAGCAGCAGCTGCTGGAGGTGACTGGTCTAGCTCCCTGGGGAAGGTACGCAACACAGAGGTACAGATACACACAGAGCAAGAGTTAAAACTCACGACAAATGTTCCATAGTCGAGTCAGCGTGAGATTTCTCAACAGTCAGATCACGCTTTTCCTCCTTTCCCCTACCCCTCTCCCTTTCCTGACCTCCGTCCTCCCTTATTCTTTGTTCCCTCTCCTTATCTCTTTCCTCCCTCTCTACCCTCTTTCTCTCTTCCTTCTCCCTTTCCCTTGCCTCCCTCTCTTTCCTTCTCCTCTCCTCCCTCTCCCTCCCTACTGTCCTCCCTCTCCTCCCTCCTCCTTCTCTTCTCTCTCGCGCTCTCTTTCCTGAGCCTGTCTCTTCGCCTCATATTCTCTGGCCCTGCACACACACAGAAACAATATCTTCCCCTCCCCTCCCCATCTCTCCCATCCTCACCTCTGCTCAAGAAGTTCTCTCTCCCTCTCTCGCTCCAACTCCTCATGCCTCTTAAGGCTGGCCTGGATCCTGTCCTGCTCAGCTCTCTCTTCTCGCAGCTGCTCTTTCTTCATTTCCAGGAATTTGGCGGGGATCCCCCCTACACTCTCCTGGGCTGACACCAGAAGATCCCACAGCTCCTATTGTCATAGTAACAAATAAAGCAACAATCACAAACTCCTTGCATTAAAACACTGTAACACCCTAACATACATCAGTCCATTAATCAACGAGCAGTTGGTGAACCAGTGCAAATTCTTGCCTTAAAACCCTGTCATTTGTGTACCGCTATAACCCTGTCCACTAACACACTGACCTGCATGAAGAGTCGGGCATTCTTTCCATTCAGGAAACCAGTGATGTTCATTTGAAGCTCTTTTGGGTCAGGGAACTGTACAAACGGAGAGGGAAAAGAGAAAGGTAGAGAGGCTATTCCAACATGTAGAAAGGTCAGGTTCACCTGGTTTCCTTCAAATAGGTTGAAGATAAACTCAATAACGACGTCGTCCTCGAATCCTAAGATCTCAGTCACCCTTTTCGTGATCCACGGCTTCACCACATCCATGTTCACTTTGCTCATGTCCACCTAATGTGTGACAGTTCCCACTTAGTCAAATTCTACAATCTGCACCAACTTTCAGTACCTCAACTGCTTACTTTGGTATTGATGTTGGGAGGAAATTTCATAGACTTCATGAGTTTCTTGGTCTTGTTGAAGAACCGGCTGTCCTGTTCCGAATTGGTTCCCTGCAAAAGGATGCGCATTAATTGGAGTGCGCTCTTCTCACGGCAGCTTACGCGGAAGAACCCGGCGTCCGTCATCTCTCCACCTCTCACTGCAGACTACCGGTGTTAAGGTCAAGAGATACAGAGAAAACGAGCCAACGTCCTGAGAAATCGCCACGCACAAAGTCGGTTGCACACCTGCTCTAAAATTAGCGTGAAAAAAAAGCAATATTGAAATATCACGTGCCCCGCATGTGTAGGCGTGGCCATCTGGAACAGAGATGTCAGCTCTTGAAGGCGATTGGGGCGCTGCTCTGGACCAGCAGGAAAATGAGCTCAGCGGAAAGGTGAAATCTAACAAAAGTCCGCATTGCCTTGTTAGAGTGTGTACACTGATGTGCAGGTCTCTAAGATGGCTGTCAAAGAAAGTGTGACTCCGTCTGTGGGTAGGGGGCGTGGTCGTCCGAAAGAGGGTCAGAGTACAGCTGCAGTGGGTGTGGCTTCACAGCCTGTTGCCACACCCACTACTAGGGATGCGGTCCCTGAAGATGGAGAGGAGGGTGGTAAGGTTTACTGAGAGATTACTAGAGAATGCTGAGTCTGGTGTGTGTTGTTGCAGGAGAGAAGACGATGGTGGCAGATTCCAGTCTGTTCAACCACCTCCTGCGCACTAAGTTGGTGGACTCCAAGAACACAGTGGAGGTCCAGAGAAAGAACCCAAACTCCCCTCTTTACTCTGTCAAGTCTTTTGAAGAACTTCACCTGTAAGGATCATTACCTCCTCTCCTTCTCACTCATTCCTCCCCCCACAGTCACCCAGACCTCCTGAAGGGAGTGTATGGCATGGGGTTCAACAGACCGTCCAAGATCCAGGAACAAGCACTCCCCATACTCCTCTCTGATCCTCCCTGTAACCTGATTGCACAGAGCCAGAGTGGGACTGGCAAGACTGCTGCCTTTGTGCTGGCAATGCTCTCTCGAGTCGACCCTTCAAAACATCACCCTCAGGTGACATTTCACCCCCGACATCTCCCCCGTATGACATTCCTTCTTGTTGCCTAGGTGATTTGTCTGTCTCCAACATTTGACCTGGCCCAGCAGACGGGGAATGTTCTAACACATATGGCACAGTACCTCTCTGTAAATATGGTGTATGCAGTGAGAGGAAGTCGAGGTGAGGGGTGTGGCCTGTTGTCATGGTGACAGAAGTGGTAAACAAACCCGGTGTTGTTCAGTGGACGCTAGGGTGGAGAGACAGGAACAAATTGTGATGGGAACGGCTGGAACAATGTTAGACTGGGTTCTCAAGAAGAAAGTGAGCCACTCTAGGTTTTATACTTAGTTTATAGTTTTGCGTGCAATAGTTCTTAGAAAACTGAACCTGTTTGTGCTGCACCATGATGTGTATAGTTTTTAGTAGGACACTAACGAAAAACTACCCTCCTCATTATTGGTGTATGTATGTATGTGGTATTAGGTGATAGATGCCAAGAAGATAAAGATGTTTGTATTGGATGAAGCAGACGTCATGATTGACCAGCAGGGTCAGCAAGATCAAACCATCAGAATACAAAGGTACATAAGACTTAATAAGTTACCCTTAACAGTGCTGCTTGCTAACACACTCTTTTTCCAACAACCCACTGTATAATATGCATACAGCTTGAGGTAGAAAAATTTCACGAGTGTCGAGATTTATTTTGTACAGCTCTCTATTGCGGGACCAGCAATTTTCTTTCCATTTGCTCCCTGCCAGACAACTGTCCAAAGAGTGCCAGATGGTCCTGTTCTCAGCGACGTACAATGAGGAGGTGATGAAGTTTGCGTCCATGGTGATCCCAGACCCTGTCATTATGAGACTTAAGAGGAACGAAGAGTCCCTCGACAACATCAAGCAGGTGAGAGGTTAATGCAGTCAGGAAAAAGACCTTCTCATTCTGTAGTTCTATGTGGCCTGCACCAGCGAAGAAGCCAAGTTTGATGCTCTGTGCAATCTCTATGGAGTCATTTCCATCGGGCAGGCGATGGTCTTCTGCCATGTATGCTGACCACACCCCATGCATGTTGCTATGGTGATGTTGTGTTTCTCTGTCAGACTAAGAAGAGTGCAGGTTGGCTGGCAGGGAAGATGCACCAAGAGGGGCACGCCGTAGCTCTTATCACAGGGGAGTCAACGATAGAGCAAAGAATCGCTGTCCTCAACAGGTGTATAAAATATGTACAGCTCATACCTTACCCTAGTGCACAAAGCTCAGTATTCTGACGCCTCAGCTCAGTATACTACGTACCTCACCTCAGTATACTAGCAACAAAATCCAGTATTCTTACAACTATGCTCAGTATACTACTACCTAACGTATCACCTCACCTCAGTATACTAACAGTATAATATACCTTCAGGTACCGAGAAGGGAAGGAAAAGCTGCTCATAACTACAAACCTGTGTGCTAGAGGAATCGATGTGGAGCAAGTGACTGTCGTAGTCAATTACGACATTCCAATGGATGTTCACAGACAGTGAGTCAGTTGCAGTGGGTGTGGTCACAGTAATCAGTGGGTGTGGTATTGTTCCCAGAGTCGACTTTGAGACATATCTGCACCGTATTGGGCGGACGGGCAGGTTTGGTCGCTCAGGACTGGCCATTAACTTCGTTGACGGACGGCGCACCATGGAGATGGTGAAGAAGATTGAAGAGCACTTTGGGAGGAAGATATCCAAAATGGAAATTGACGATCCCGACAGTATAGAGCAGGCCGTTGCCTCTTAGACCACACCTCTTCATTGCTTTCCTAATTCCTCTCATCCCTTATCTCATATAACCAACATTATCTTTTGTTAAGAGTTGTACGGGATTTCTTACACCGTTTGGTCTTATCCAGGGCTTATGGTAATGGGAAATATTTCCAAAGGGTTATGTTGAGAGGCTTCTTACATATATAACTGTCCATGCATTAAAAAAATAATTATAGCTGAATGTTGTCTTGCACCATTTAAACTTGTCCATGGATTGTTTCATTTTTAAGGTATATAGAAAAATCTGTCAGCCCTCCACAGACATCTCTGGATGCTGTGTAGCCCTCCACAGACATCTCTGGGTGCTGTGTAGCCCTCCACAGACATCTCTGGATGCTGTGTAGTGCGGAGTGACTTGTGAAAATGAAAACACTACTAAAGTGCAAACCCTCGGCACATTATATAAAAATGTGGAACCCATTCACAAGTGTGGCACCACCATAATTGATGGTCTTGACCATGCATAAAAAGAACAGCATGTTATGCACTATTTCCATGGATTATTATCACGAAAAATGGCCAGCCCCATTTCTGTTTGAGGCCCAAAAAATATAAAAATTGCCAACCATTAATCTATTAATTTTCGTATTACCCGTGGATTGTTTAGTGCAAAAAAACAAACCTAAGGTTGAAAAAAAAGTAAAAAAACGGCCAGCCCTTCACCTCTCCAGACAGACGTCTACGGACGCAGTGCAAAGCCGAACTATACGCTGCCCTTTGAGAAACGTGGGTCAGTGGTAGATTTGTGGGTAAGGGGAGGAACCAGAGCTGTTCCCAGCCAATGCTCTGGACCACCTGACACTTTAGTGCGGGATCGGATACGAACCGGGCACCTACGGTGTCAGTCCCCACGACTCTAACCACCTAGCCACTCGGGCTGGCCTGGAGAGGTAATGAAAAAACGTTCCATATATACCAACACTCCTATTACATCATTGTAAAAAAGGCGTACACACCCGGGATCGAACCAGGGACCTCACGATCAAGAGAGGGGTGCTTATCCACCAGACCATCACCATTACTTTAATGGGAACAGTGTAAATAGCACTGAAGTGCAAACCCTAGGCGAACTGCGCATGTGCGGTACCGCTGATGGGCTGGGCTAGCTATTTGCGTTTACTCGTGGAGTAGCTCGCGAAGAGTCTGACACGGGCTAGCTACAGTAGTAGATAGCATGCGGGAGTCGATAAACGCCTTTCGTTGTGACTTCTTGTTCCTCCGAGGTACACAGAGCAAGCGGACCCGGTCGAGGTAAGCCTGTGCTAATTTGCATATTGGCTTGTTCACTTGGTTTTCATGCCATTACTTCTGAACGCGGCACTTTTACAAAAATCGCCATTTTAAAAATGAAGCGGGTGTAGCGCTGAACCCGTTGGTGTCTCTATTTTACCTGTTTGTCGCGCGTGGTGGCAGAAAACGCGGACGGACGGACAGACAGACGGACAAACACCAACCCTCGCTGCGCATGCGCGCCGCCGAGGGTTAATAAATTTTGCCATCTCTCTGCCAAACTGTACGCTGTCCTTTGAGATGTACATGGGTCAGTGGTAGATTCATGGGTAAGGGGAGAAACCAGAGCTGTTCCCAACCAATGCTCTGGACCACCTGACAGTTTATTTGACGCCACTATTTCATCTTGCGCTTGTCGCAACAACCATGATTAAAAAATGCAAAAACAATATAGCTCTGAGCTCGAGCTCATGTCATGAGTCATGAATGAGAGGTGAAGGGCCAGTTGGGTGGGATGGAACTGAGGAGGTGTTTGTATTTGTTGCGAGGCTTTGTCTTACACCTGACCCATCGCAGCAGAACCCTCACACACTCACTAGGTAGGATGTAGCCCTGTGTACACAGAATACTGCATGATCCTACAGCAATAGGTTCTACGAGTTATTCTTAACCAACAAACTTCACAAAGGCTTTTTCTTTAAAAACAGATTTCTCCATGTGAAAGTCTACTGTGTATACCTCAAGAAGATGCGAAATGAGGAAATTGAAGAGAGCAAGTTCTACAATGGCCACTGAGAACCAAAGAGAGGGGTGTGGCTTCATCTGGAGCCACTCCCAGAGCCACGTCCACCAGTGGGCGGGGGCTAGAGTGAGGTAGATATTGAGAGGAAAGAGAATTCCCAGAGCCAACAGGAACCATACTGTAGGAGAAAGGGAGAGGGGAAGGCGACAAGATGGAGAAAGGATAAAAATCAGTGCAAGATAGAGATTAGTTTGGAGCGAGACAGAGGGAAAAGAGTCAGCACTAAAAAACACAATTTTTGCTGCCGTCAGAATACACGAGAGCAACACATTTTAGCGATCAACGCGAGCAGTTTGAATTTCACGCATACTTAGAATCACATACATAACATAGCGGTATGTGCAGTGCCCGTACACAGAAAAATCCGGCAACTAGACGACTAGGTGGGCTCGGTTTGCTCGTCAATTACTACAGTGTCTGACCATTGGTGTAGAGTGGTCTGCGATAAGGAGCTGCTGTAGACAGAGACACTGCCAGAGCCACGTACTGGAAGATGGAGATCTGAAACAGTACCGTGTTCTCACTACAGCGGATGTTCCGGGACTCAGGGTCAGGGTTCAACGGCTGGTACCTAGGTAAACATCACCATGGTGACGACATGATTACCATGGAAACTGGTAGGGAGCAAACCAGGGTTGTTTCTGTAGGTAGAGGAGGGCAGATATCTGGAACACGATGAGCAAGAGAGTCTGTAGACCCAGAGACAGCATGACGTGTACTCCAGCCAATGTCCCCAGGGGCCTCCTCTTCACCAGATGGGGGTGTGGTCCCGTGTACCCCACTGAGAGTGGGAATCACATGATGTCATGTGACTGTTACATGACAAAACTTACTGACAACGGAGAAGGCAAAGACGAGGACCAGGTCAATGTACAGATACTGCCAGTCTCCTAGGTTACTCTCGTACTGGGGAAATGATGATGTCATTATGACATCACAAGTTATTGGAAAGTTGGTATATGTATAAGGTCAAAAAGACTCCAGAAAATTCTTGTAAAGGTTTTGCCTCGAAATATTGTCACTATACTATACTGCCTAGTTACAGAGTATAGAATGGAGACGGTGATGAACTCGGCAAGGCTGTAGAGAGCCATGAACTTGAAGATTGAAAATGAGGTAACCAGGGCACACCGCCCCTCCCTGTGGGGCGGAGTAGGTAATTAGACCACACCCAATAATTATACATCCCAGCCCACTCACCTGAGGAGGATGGGGACGCACGAGATGTCAGGTATCTTGGAGGTGAATGGAGACGCCACACTAGCCTCTGTCTCAGATAGAGATATGCCTGCGTGTGCCGCCTTTAGTGCCTGTGGTGAGATGAGGGAGGAGTGAGGGGAGAGGGTGGAAGGGGAGCAGACATGAGGAATGGAGGAAGGGAAGGCTGACAAGAGAAAAGAATGTATACAAATGGTGAGGATAGGGAAAGGAAGGGCTAGGAAGAAGAAATCTTACCCCACAGTCATTGGCTCCATCTCCACACATTGCGACACCATACCTGAGAGAGGAATATAAGTGAGTGAACGTTAGGTTAATAGAAGGTGTTACCCAATGGACTGCAGGTCTCTGACTAGCTGAGCCTTCTGGTCCGGAGCCATCCTCGCAAACACAGTTCCTTTCACAAGCACCTGCACCAGAGATCACACCACTGCCATGTGACACAGTCCCAGGTCACATGACTATCATGAAGTAAGCTCACTCTCTGGTAGTCGTCTTGTGAGGAACTTTCTCTCAAGACTGAGAACGTCTTTCCGTCCAGAGCCATGTGGAATGGAGGTTGAAGGTCACCTGCTTTGATAATGAGAGGAGTGGTCCCTTCCTCTCCTGAACTTGTCAAATGAACTGCAATCACCAATCAGATTTCTGGGAAGTCACATGATAGTCACCTGACTCAGTGGTAGGGGATCGTCCCTCCCCAAGCACACGGAATGAGACTAACGAGGTGGGTGTGGTCTCGGCAACGATGACACTGTGGGTGGAGGGTATCATCCCACATTCCCGAGCAACACACACCGCAGTCAACAGGTGGTCTCCTGGACAAACAACATTAGGCACACTCTCAAATTAACTTCTCTAATCCAGACACCAGAAAAAAATAAGAATTTGCCAGAAACTGAGATTTGTCCTACATGGTAGGGCTGACCGGTGATCATGACATTTCTGATGCCAGCATGACTGAGAGAAGACATGACTGGAGTGGTTTGAGACTTGAGTCTGTTCTGCATCACGACCAGACCAGCCAGCCTCAGATCACATTCCACTACTTCCCTGCAAGGGTGAGAACACTCTCAGCTGCTCTCGTGGCCCCAATTTCCTGCAGCTGCTTGCAAGTCTTGCTGATTTTTCGGAAAAAACATTGCTCAAAACCTTTGCCTTTACTTTTTATCTCATTTAAAACAGTTCCACTTTTTTACCTACAAAACATCTCGCTTAATTTCCACATTTTCCACTATGTTACTTGGACCTTCATTATAGTAGTAGAGGAAAGGAAGAAGGGATATTTAATATGTACCTCTTCACCCTCTCAGCCTTGTGCCAGGCCATGTGCAGCGGCCTGTGAGCCACGGCCAACACGCGGTAACCCTGCTGAGTCAGCGAACCAAGAACCTCGGGGAAATCCCCTGGAACTGCAGCAATCGGAGAGAACACACTGTCGTCATTGAGGGGAGAACACACGAAAAATTAGAGTGAGAGGAATCGCAAAAATTTGGAGAAAGATAGGAGGAAAAGACAAAAGTTGGGAGTGAGATAGGAGGAAACGATAAAATGTGGAGCAAGATTAGGGGAAAGAGAAATCTAGCCAGAAGACCCTCTCTCTCTTTGGCCCGCGCATGCGCAATGAGGCCGCATGCAAAGAAGTGAATGCGGAGAAGAACACGTGAGAACTATACGCAGAAAGGTGTGCGTGAAGAAGCATATTATAAGAAGATAAAGTGTGGAGCGAGATAGGGGGAAGAGCTGAGAGTTAGGAGCTATAGATTAGAGGATGTTAAATACCGGAGTTTGGACGACACAGTTGGCAGATTGTCTCAGGAGCTCCTTTACAGAAGACATGCAGCTGTTTGGGGTCAGAGGTCGGAGCCACTCTCACCTGGGGAACGAGGGAATGTGGTAATGGAGACATGGGAATGTGGGACTGCATCTCACAATGACACTCATTCTCTGGAGGTCAGAGGAGAAAGTGAACATTCGGAGTTGAGCTAACTCGACTTCTGATCCCAGGATCTCCCCGCCCCCACCCTTCGGGGGGCATGCAATTGTGGGGGTCAGAGTATCAAATGATCCTGGGGGAGGTTCCCTCAGTACCTATGAGAAGAAAGAGAGACAGGGGAGGGAGAGTAACGTATTTACACAGCAGGAGCTAAAGTGTGCAGGTATGGAATTACATAATCGGATTTCAACATTCGCTTCATTGCTGTGGAATGTGGAACTTGGTCTTAGCCAACAGAACCCAGTGTCGCCAAAATGCAAATGAATGTAATTATGGCAGAGACACACGTGCAGATAGATTTGATTGGCGAGTGAACACTTTAGGCGTTGAATGCGGAATATATATTATATATATATTTTGAAACGGTCAACGGACCAACATACTGCAATGTCTACGTGATTCTAAATACACCCTGAAATATTGAAATGCTCACTTCACTAAATGTGTTGCATTCCTTTAGTATCAACAAATTATGCAGTGAAAACACGCAACAGAAACATTCAGTTGAGCATTATCTCTCTCATCCCATGACGTGTATATGTACGTATGTACATTGACATAATAGGTGGTAACTAAGGACACACCCAGCCAGTCCCCTGGAACATCTTGAGGTCAATAGGGTCACCAGTCAACTTCCCGTTGATGGTTGCTATGGAATGAGTGGTTGCCATGGCGTAGAGGAGGGGACACTGGGGCAGGTCACGGGCACTGCACAGTCCACTGGTAAAACTGTTCGTAACGAGAGATCATGTGACATCATGTGAGTGTCACATGAGACAAACCTTCCTGCCACCACAGGCTGTACTCCAAGGAGGTCTAGACTGTCTTCTGTGAGTGTACCTGTCTTGTCAAAACACACCAACTTCACCTTCCCAGCCAACGTCACTCTGAGATATTAAATACTGGACGACCAATCGATGGATGGGACACCTGAGCTCACCTCTGTGGACTGATGCAGAAGATGTTGTTCTTGCGCAGTCTTGCGAGGGCATACACGATGCCGACAGTGAGAGCAGCAGGCAAGGCTGGCGGCACCGCAATGGTTATCACATCAAAGGCTCGCAGAATTGTGTCCTTCACCTAATGAAGGGGAGAGGCAAGGTAAATGTACAGGGAAAACTGGGAGAAAGAAAACGTTAGTAAACCTGAAACTTGAAATAAAAGTTGATGGCCAGAGTGTAGATGAATCCACAGCCAGCTGCATACAGAGAGACAAATTCAAGTTAGGAAGAGATAGAGGGAGAGAGTTGACCAGACCTAGGATTGACAGAAGAAGGACAAACTTCATGGCGTCCACATAGAACCTGACACTTAGTTTCCGTGGAAACAGAATGGATCGTACCATGCCACCTTTGGCAGTGGAGAATCCAGTCCCCACCACGGCTGCCAACACCCTCTCATTTCCATAGAAACGAGTCTGGACCACCTGTGAGACAGAGACATATCCAGGTGTGGGGCTCAGAGCCAAACATTCTTGAGTGTTATATATAAATATTAGTCACAGAGAATAAAGTGGAATATTGAATCACTGCTACTAAACTACGCTTCAGAAAGATAGTCTCCGTGGCATATGTACATGCACACAGTATGTCACCTTGCAATGAGTCAATGTGCCCCAATGCGCGCATCTCTTCCCCCATGCACACATCCCTTCCCCCATGCGCACATCTCTTCCCCCATGCGCACATCTCTTCCATGCATCCCGCAAGAGGGCAAGAAGGGAAACCTGAGTGCCACAGAAGAGTGTGTGTCTCTTGTGAGAGGAGGAAGAGGGGAGGTAGTGAAGGGAGGAGGGAGGGAGAGGTGTCTTGGTAACGGGAACACTCTCTCCTGTTAACAGAGAGAAATGATAAGGCCTGCAAATACTTTCGAAGTAGCCATAAAAACATTTTACGCCGTGTGAGCTTTGAACGCAGACTATTCTGTGCCGTGCGGGCTTTGAGCACAGGCTACTCTACGCCGTGCGGGCTTTGAGCGCAGGCTACTCTACACCGTGCGGGCTTTGAGCGCAGGCTACTCTACGCCGTGCGGGCTTTGAGCGCAGGCTACTCTACGTCGTGCGGGCTTTGAACGCAGGCTACTCTACGCCGTGCGGGCTTTGAACGCAGACTATTCTACGTCGTGCGGGCTTTGAACGCAGGCTACTCTACGCCGTGCGGGCTTTGAACGCAGACTACTCTACGCCGTGCGGGCTTTGAGCGCAGGCTACTCTACGCCGTGCGGGCTTTGAGCGCAGACTACTCTACGCCGTGCGGGCTTTGAGCGCAGGCTACTCTACGCCGTGCGGGCTTTGAGCGCAGGCTACTCTACGCCGTGCGGGCTTTGAACGCAGACTATTCTACGCCGTGCGGGCTTTGAACGCAGACTACTCTACGTCGTGCGGGCTTTGAGCGCAGGCTACTCTACGCCGTGCGGGCTTTGAGCGCAGGCTACTCTACGCCGTGCGGGCTTTGAGCGCAGGCTACTCTACGCGTGCGGGCTTTGAGCGCAGGCTACTCTACGCCGTGCGGGCTTTGAGCGCAGGCTACTCTACGCCGTGCGGGCTTTGAACGCAGACTACTCTACGCCGTGCGGGCTTTGAACGCAGGCTACTCTACGCCGTGCGGGCTTTGAACGCAGACTACTCTACGCCGTGCGGGCTTTGAGCGCAGGCTACTCTACGCCGTGCGGGCTTTGAACGCAGACTACTCTACGCCGTGCGGGCTTTGAACGCAGACTATTCTACGCCGTGCGGGCTTTGAACGCAGCTACTCTACGCCGTGCGGGCTTTGAGCGCAGACTACTCTACGCCGTGCGGGCTTTGAGCGCAGGCTACTCTACGTCGTGCGGGCTTTGAACGCAGACTACTCTACGCCGTGCGGGCTTTGAACGCAGGCTACTCTACGCCGTGCGGGCTTTGAGCGCAGGCTACTCTACGCCGTGCGGGCTTTGAACGCAGACTACTCTACGCCGTGCGGGCTTTGAGCGCAGGCTACTCTACGCCGTGCGGGCTTTGAGCGCAGGCTACTCTACGCCGTGCGGGCTTTGAACGCAGACTATTCTACGCCTGAACGTAGACAGCTGCTCCTATCATTGAATCAGTGTGTGTACAGTGCAATGTTTGCTGATGTGCATGCAAACTATTCGCGATAAAGAATTTGTGAAATTCGTGAGTGTCTTTAGTTATTATTATCAAAACAGTTGTACGTATGTACATGATATACAGTAGTTTAACATGTGTGCTATCACAACATCAAGATATTAGCAAGCTCTTGGCAGCAATATCTGAAGCCTACCACATGAAGGTGGAATTGTAAGAGTGAGAAAAGGCAATAATGACTCTCGTCAAGGGAACCATGGCAATGGTATAACGTACCAGTCAACATTGCCTCATTGACGATAGCCTGTCCAGTCAGGAGTGCCGCGTCACACGGCAACAAGAGCCCTGATGGAGGAACCACCAACACATCTCCTGGTACGAGGGATGAACTGGAGACACCTGACATTTCTGGGAGGAAGAGAGGGAGGGAGAGGAGAGGTTAATTGCCACTTAAATATTGAACTAGTAGCAGGCTAAAACGTGAACCAGGCCAGTAGTATATTGTAAATGACAAAAGTGGAGATGAGGGAGGGGGGAAGGGACTGAGGAAGGGAAAGAACTAACCTCTACCTTCCCTGACCACCGACACAGTGGTAGAGGAGAAGGCAATGTCGTGGATCTGCTGAAGATGGCGTCTTGTCTGAAGCAGACTGATAATCACTGACACGCATGAGATGAGGAACACTGCACCTGGAGACCGGGAATAGAGAGAGAGAGATGTGCAGATAGATGGACACAATATCTTATGAAACAACTGTATGTCGTGCATGCTCATTAACGCGACATACCGCCACACGTGTATTGTCTTCAAAATTCGTGACCACTAGGTTAGCTTGCTCCAGCTCACCAGTAATGTAGTACAGTATTCCTCGCCAGTAATACAAACATAGCAGTACAGTATTCCTTGCCAGTAATACAAACAGTAGTACAGTATTCCTTGCCAGTAATACAAACAGTAGTACAGTATTCCTCGCAGTAATACAAACAGTAGTACAGTATTCCTCGTCAGTAATACAAACAGTAGTACAGTATTCCTCGTCAGTAATACAAACAGTAGTACAGTATTCCTCGCCAGTAATACAAACAGTAGTACAGTATTCCTTGCCAGTAATACAAACAGTAGTACAGTATTCCTCGTCAGTAATACAAACAGTAGTACAGTATTCCTCGCCAGTAATACAAACAGTAGTACAGTATTCCTCGCCAGTAATACAAACAGTAGTATATACAGTATTCCTCGTCAGTAATACAAACAGTAGTACAGTATTCCTCGCCAGTAATACAAACAGTAGTACAGTATTCCTCGTCAGTAATACAAACAGTAGTACAGTATTCCTCGTCAGTAATACAAACAGTAGTACAGTATTCCTCGCCAGTAATACAAACAGTAGTACAGTATTCGTCGCCAGTAATACAAACAGTAGTATATACAGTATTCCTCGTCAGTAATACAAACATAGTAGTACAGTATTCCTCGCCAGTAATACAAACAGTAGTACAGTATTCCTCTGTCAGTAATACAAACAGTAGTATATACAGTATTCCTCGCCAGTAATACAAACAGTAGTATATACAGTATTCCTCGTCAGTAATACAAACAGTAGTATATACAGTATTCCTCGTCAGCAATACCGGCGTAGTAGTAGTACTGCTCCACAATCCAGAATACGACAGACACCAGCTGGAAAACGTAGAATGGATGGAGAACCTCTTCCACCAGCAGAACATGGTATGGCTTCACCGGCACGTCAATAGAGTTCTCACCATAGAGACACGCCCTGCGTTACCATGCACACATGAACACACCTGTCATTGTTAATAGAGTGGAAAATTTTCCACTATTTGGAGGTCTGCCTTTTAAAAATATTTTATGTACATAGCATCATTTGTGAATTGCGCACATGTGCACATGCTCTGTGCTTGCATGCCCTAGCCCAGTCCCCGTAGCAACACAACACGCTCTGTGCTTGCATGCTCATCACCTAAATTTCAACAACACCCACAAAACATATGCATCAAACTTTTCCAATAGAAGAGGTGCTCTTCTATTGGAAAGTGTTAACGGTATGCGAAGTGTCCATTGTCTGGTGTCCGCTATTCCGGAGCGTCCATTATCTGAGGTTCCACTGCAGAAAAACTGTCGACCGTCTCATAGGTCAACTGAACATCTTTCTCCCCCAGATGTTTCCCACCACAATATTGTGCACTCATACCTCTTAGAGTGCTGTTCTAATGAGAGCCCACCCCTCATTCCGTGGAGGGCGGAAGAGGTGTGGCCATCATCCAGTCCCCGTAGCAACACAAACTTCCCAACAGACGGTTGGTACAAGTAGCGGAGATGTCGGTGTATCAGGTATCTGACCACACCCCCTGACCACACCTCTTTCAGCCCCACACACGTGTGGCCTATTCTGATTGGTTGGTGGGTGTGGCCAGGGAGAATGGCAGTCTTTACAACCTCCACACATTTGTTGCCATCCAAATCCTGAGTGGGAGAGAAACGAGGCGGCATTCAATTCTGATACAAAACACTTCTCACAGAGTTTGGCACATAATTACAAGGCACATCAATTTTCCTCCCTCCACTCCGAAAAATGGTTTCGCCCCCTGAACTAGTGGTCATGCAGACAAGTCAGAGTATAGCCAAAAAGTATGTCACCACCTATTATTTCTCAAGACCAAATTTGACCCCGCCCCCAAAATTATTACTGGAGAAAACCCTGTGTTACCTTGACGATGACCCTGGAGGCAGAGCCAAGAGGGCAGCGGTACGCGGTCAGCCTCAGCCAGACAGCAGGGAACCAGTATGCCAGTAACAACCCCAGTCCAGCTGGAACTACTACCAGTGCATAGAACAACACACTCCTCCAGATGCTGTGTCTGTAGCCAGTCTGGGGCTATTGGGAAATGCACCGCATCATTGATGAGAATGAGCGTTTAAAATTTCAGTCACTTTAGGACATTACATTCCGTTTACAGCAGCAAACGAGTGGATTTCCCCGAAGAAGTCTTCGTTAATTGCTTGTCCTGAATTACTAATATCACCACCCAAAAATATTCACAGAGAAAACTTTGCAGACAGTGCAAAAAATAATGTTTCCCAATGTTTTCAAAATGTTTCCCACTCTGTTTTACATAATTATTGTAACTCAGTCGGCCACACAAATTACGGTTGGAATGTCTTACTGGACACGAGTCAATCTCTTGGTCCTGACATGGATCACTGCCATTGACAACCGCATTCTCAACTGTGGAGGATCACGTGATGATCACATGACAGATAATAGAACCAACCTAGTTACCTTTTCCCACTGGTACTGGTTTCTCCATGAGTATTTGTCACACCCCAATTATGGTAGTAGGGACTGCTAGCTAGGTCTAGAGAGAGAGCTGAAATTTCTGTCCACGGGTCTTCCCCTCACAGCCTCCCAGAACATGGCAGCTGCTCTGTTCGCCCCTCGTTTCTCATACCAAACCAATTTCCAACGCCGACCTCTTTGTAAAAACAACCTAAAGGCGAGGCACACTCACGGGCTATAAACGTGTAAGAGGTCACAAATAAGGTCACTTTTGACATGTGACTTTCACGAGCAGCGTGCACCACGTGTGCTAACTTTATATATAGCTAGCTAGCTGTTTTCTCGCTCTAGGCTCTAGTTTTCCAGGCGACGAGCTAGCGATGGACCGTCCTCCAGATCTAGAGAGACTGCTTCAAGGAGACGAGCTCCTGAGAAGTCACGAGAGCGACATTCTGCAGCGCTGGCGTCGCTATAGTGACTGGGAGAAGAGGATAGCTGATAGCGAAGGCGGACTGTCCGAGTTCGCGCTCGGCTATAGAGACTGGGGTATCGTGCAGAGGCCGAGGGGTGAGGTGACGGTCAAAGAATGGGTGGAAAACGGGGAAACGGTGTCGCTGGTTGGAGATTTCAACAACTGGGACAAGTCTAGTCACGTGTGCTCACGTGACCAGTACAGCGTGTTTTCCCTGACGATCCCACCGCGAGAGGACGGGACAGCTGCCGTTCCTCATGGTAGTCAGGTGAAGCTGTGGATTAGGACGAAGGATGGACAGGAATTTTATCGCCTGTCGCCATGGACCAAGTATGCAACTCAGGTTAGTACATCAACGAATTACATCATTATGATGTAATCCAAGGAAAGTGTAAGCCACTTTGTTCCTGCTATAATAGAACATGGAGGAGTCAGTGGACTACAGGGCTGTTCACTGGGCCCCACCCACTCCCTACAAGTGGAGGTACAGTCGAGCCACCAGACCTCCTAGTCTCAGGATATACGAGGCTCACGTTGGAATATCCTCACCTGAGGCCAAATGTGCCAGCTACAGGTATACCACACATTCTGTCAGTGTATATTTAATAGCTCCTTATTATAGAGACATCCATGTTCTCTAGATATTAAACGTATATTTTACTAGGTTTTCATGGGTTTTCCTCCATACATTTGTATGGGACTTTTTCACGAGTATAATATGTAAGTTGTATGTGTGCAATTGCATTCTGCTGTGTTCAGCGACATATGTGACCCACTATGGGAAGTTTCACACCAAATATAGATTTTCCACTACACATGTGTATAGCCAAAAACTCAGTAGTAGTTTAGTAGGCAACTTCGGAGGAAAATAGAGCACACATTCATTCAGAAAGTCTGAAACTGTCTTGTAAACGTCTACCAAACGTTCGCCATTAAGTGGCTCTGTGGTTTGTTTTCTGTGGCTGTAGGTACTTTGCAGACGAGGTTCTGCCCCGGATCAAGTCTCTTGGCTACACCTGCGTGGAGCTAATGGCAGTCATGGAACATGCCTACTACGGTAGCTTTGGTTACCATGTCACCAACTTCTTTGCCGTCTCCAGTCGCTATGGAACTCCAGACGACTTCAAATACCTCGTTGATACCGCGCACGGCCTGGGGTTATACGTCATTCTAGACATTGTCCACAGTCACGCGGCCAAGAACGTGAATGACGGGCTAAACCAGTTTGACGGGACAGACGGTTGCTATTTCCACGGTGGAGGGAAAGGGGAGCACGCTCTCTGGGACTCTCGAATCTTCGACTTCTCAAAATGGGAGGTCCTGCGATTTCTTTTCTCCAATGTCCGCTGGTATCTCGATGAGTACCGTGTGGATGGGTTTAGATTTGACGGAGTGACTGCAATGCTGTATCTTCATCGTGGTATAGGTACAGGGTTCACAGGGGCTTACCACGAATATTTCAACATGGGGGTGGACCTGGAGGCACTGGTGTACCTGATGATGATGAACAGAATGCTCCATGATATGTACCCTGATGTCATCACTATTGCTGAGGATGTGTCTGGAATGCCAGCTCTTGGCAGGTATGTACGATCAATGTAATATAAAAGCTCGAAAACACTAATTCTGACGTGAAAAAATGCATGTTGTGGAGTTGAATGGTGGTCAACATGTGTTTCCGTGGCTACGAAGGCTAAGCATTGTTTTTCATCAGCTGAAAACTACGGTTTCAGAGGCTGGCAATGTTACGAAGCATAGTATATTTACTATAAACAAAAGACAATGCCAATATTTGTGAGCCAACATAAGCAAGTCAGACGTTGTTTGTGCATGTTCCCTGATGAGTGGCAAAGATTTAAGAATAATAATTGGATGATCACTTTGATCAGGAAAGAGTGTTTACGAGAGATGTAAGCTGTGTTGAGAGAGACAGAGCTAGGAAGGAGGGTGTTACTATTTCTCTCCCTGCAGGCCAGTGAGAGAGGGAGGGTTGGGGTTTGACTACAGAATGGCCATGGCTCTCCCTGACATGTGGATCAAACTCCTGAAGGAGAAGAAGGATGAGGACTGGTGTATGGGGCAAATATGTTGGACCCTCACTAACAGACGGTCTGTTTCACTGTGGGGGGGGGGGGCAGTGATTGGGAGTGTGCGCAGTTTCCCCTCAAAATTTTACTCACCATATGTGACCCGCTGTGGGAAAATTGGCACAATGTGGTTGTTGTGGGCTTTGCCTCCACGTCTATGTATAAAAATTCCTCGCGCAATATCCGCACGCAGAAGGTGCGCGCGTTTTTTACGTATAGTGTTTGAACGGAAGCAGCTACGAAGGGTGCGGTTTTGTTCGTTTTATGCAGCGTGTGTTGTGCATTCAAACGATATTATGCTCAATTTCGAATTGTTGCACAAAAATGTACCTTTTCCCATAATATAGTAGCAGGTCACATTGTAGTATCACAAGCTGTGAGTGTGGGTGTGTCCTCTTATCTCCAGACACAATGAGAAGTGTGTGGCGTATGCGGAGTGCCATGACCAGGCACTAGTTGGAGACAAGAGCCTTGCCTTCTGGCTGATGGACGCCGAGATGTACACCAACATGTCCACCGTGTCGCCACGGACGACCGTCATTGACAGAGGCATGGCTCTGCACAAGTTGATACGGCTGGCAACGCTGGGGCTGGGAGGAGAGGCGTACCTCACCTTCATTGGCAATGAGTTTGGCCACCCCGAATGGCTGGACTTCCCCCGGCAGGGAAATGGCTTTAGTTACTACTATGCCCGCAGGTACCATGGAATACCTTCTTTAGAAAGTGTTCATATGAGTGAGGTGTCCTTATTTCAGGGGTTAAATTGCATGCAATAACTCCTCGTGAGGAAATTTCTTACCATTGTAATCTTATAGACGGTCCCACTGTAGTACTCCTTTTCCCTTACTAATACAAATGGTAATGTTGCGACCACACTTTGCCATAGATGAACCAAATTTTACCCTCCAACTATACACCTTCAGAAGCACCTACACCTTTCCTCTCCCTTTTCCCTACAATGTAGACAGTTCAACCTGGCGGATGACAAGCTGTTGAGGTATCATTATCTGAGGGATTTTGACTCTGCAATGCAGAGCCTGGAGCAGAGGTTTCAGGTATATACATCATCCACTGAGTCATGACTAACACTGTATACTTGTGAGGAGAGAAAAGGTTCGTAGTTGGAAGAAAGAGTGTATTTTACATGTTGCATGATCTTCTCAATAAGAGAAAAATAATTCACATGTGTTTCTTTTCTTCCAACTGTATATACATTGGGACATTGATTTCCCAATGATGTGGTTTTGTCTGCTCCCAACAGTCTCTGTGGTAATGTCGGTATTTCTCTCCCCGCAGTTCCTAGGCTCGGGGAGGGAGTTTGTCACCAGGAAACATGATGGAGATAAGTTGATATCATTCGAGAGAGGAGGACTCGTGTGGGTCCTCAACTTCCACCCATCACAGAGCTTCGTTGACTACCGCATCGCTGTCGAGAGGGCTGGCAGGTAACTGTCTCTCTTTTCCTCCACTGCATTTCTAACAGTGATGGCACTTGGCATTGTTAAAAAAATCATTCGCGTAATAGCAGTCCATGTGAGGCAAACCTATTCTACTTGTTTGGCCGAACCCGACCTGTAAGGGACAGCTCTATGACCAGCCAGGTGCCATCGAGGATGGTGGCGCTGGGCACGGTGTTAGTGCGTCTCAATGAAGGGCGTGTATCGACTCCCGCATGCTATCTACTACTGTAGCTAGGGCCGTGTCAGACTCTCCGCGAGCTACTAGCTACTAGCAGGAGACCACGAGTAAAATCATACTAAAAGCTCAGCCCATCAATTAGTGGTACTGCGCTGAGGGTTTGCACTAGCTACTGCCAATTACCTCAACTCCATCTTGTTTTTGTACACCTCAGGTATAAGATTGCTCTGGACACTGACGCCAAGGAGTTTGACGGACACTCACGTGTCGACGGGAGGTCAGAGTACGTTGCCATGGAAATACCCTGGGACGGTCGGGACTATTCCATCATGGTCTACATTCCGTGTCGTACTGGTCTGGTTCTGTACTGGGACCAGGCCAGCTGACCTGCTATCTCCACAGAGGAACTGAATTTTCTATTTGAGTGTGTGTTAATATCCAACCTACTGTTGTATTTCACAAACTAACAGATTTTATGGTGAAGTGAGAGCTTTACGTACCATTTGAAACATTGACATTTCTGAAGTGTACTGCATTAATACAGTCCGTGTAAGGACTAAAAGGGTGTTTTGGTGCGGGCATTGATAGCTGCTATATACTATGTAGCTAACTTCCTGGATCTGATGACATCTTGTGAGTGGACCAACGACCTACAGTGCAGTGTTGTGGGAGGAAAAGCTCAGCCCATCAATTAGTGGTACTGCGCTGAGGGTTTGCACTAGCTACTGCCAATTACCTCAACTCCATCTTGTTTTTGTACACCTCAGGGTATAAGATTGCTCTGGACACTGACGCCAAGGAGTTTGACGGACACTCACGTGTCGACGGGAGGTCAGAGTACGTTGCCATGGAAATACCCTGGGACGGTCGGGACTATGGGTGTTTTGGTGCGGGCATTGATAGCTGCTATATACTATGTAGCTAACTTCCTGGACCTGATGACATCTTGTGAGTGGACCAACGACATACAGTGCAGTGTTGTGGGAGGAAACATTGTGGTTCACCTGGTGCCCCCTCAACACCAGTGCACTCCCACACCACCCTTTCATCTCTCGGCCCCCCACCACGCGGCCTTCATTCCCTTCGTGCCTTTCTAATCACCTCCCACCATGCACCATTCCTATCTCTGACTCCACAAACAGTTCTTTCATCGACATCCTCCCACTGCCGTGGAGTGCATCTTTTCTCCCCTTCCTCGCAGATTGTGTCATCCCCTCCTTTGCTGTACATTAGGATCTTTCTTAGCCCTTCTCTTCCTCCATCTGCCACAGATTCTGTGCAGGTGAAGTGGGGTCTAACATAATAGATGGCAGCTGCAGCTATTTCCTCCATATTCCCATTGTTCATCTGCATACATTGATAACTGGTTGTAATCTTTCACGGCTTCGGCCAACTTTCTCCAACAGTTTTCCAAGAATTGTGTAAAATCTTTGCTGGATAGGCCTCTTCCCTTTATGATAACAATTATTGATAATGATGCAGGCTAACGACATGTTCCTGTGTAACTCCACAAGACTAATGACATCTCACATTTTCTCTTACAAACACATAACTCAAGAGTGATCACAGTCACCTCCATTACATCAAATTAGATAACGACACATACTTGGTCTAAGGAGTCCCAAGTCTTTGATAGTATCTAAACAGACCTGTAACTTGCAGGTAATTATCCTTCTTGTTTTCTCCTGCCTTGCTATTGCCACGTGCTTGACTATTCCAGCCAACTTTAATCCCATTTTCGGCCCAGAATTGTGTTCCCAAGCAAGTGGTTGTGTTTAGTTAACTACTCCTCCATCTGATAACAACAATCTGGTAACGATGTGTCTTGCACAACACCTAATGACATCATTTTACCCTCCACTACGCGGAATACCTTCTCTCGTGTCTCGCGCCCCGCTGTCGTCACTTGCTAGCTTTTATTTACTTCTCCAGCCAAGTAAAACCATGTTTTGGCAAAGTTTCCCAGAATTGCTGCAAATCCTCAAGAAAAGGGGGTTTTTCTGCCCAATTTTGGAGATGGGTTACAACAAAACCTATAATAAATATTCCAAATCCCTTAGATGATGTCGGAGGATGGAAGTGCTTTCCATCTACAAGCCAAAGTTATGATCGCTGCCTCCAATGTGTAACCACACGCAACAGCTCTCTTTCTTGCTCTGTCCTCAGCAGCTGTCCCGACACATGACCTGCTGGGTATGGTGCGTGGGTTGATATAGTCCCCTTTTCCAGGAAAAGTAATTGTCCTTGCCAGCCTTACATTACCCATTATTTACACTCCCAACCATGTACTGTCGGAGTTCCACGGGCTGATGTGGCTGTAGTTTAACTATCCTCATCTGTATAATAATAATTATACACTGACACCCTCTTTCGGATGCTTCGCTGCACAACACTGTTTACAACAGCAACAAAAGATATACAAGTCTCGTGTTTCCTTGCTAAGATCAAAAAACGGTTGCTAATCAAAGTGTTTTGCTCATGTTTTTCCCTCAGTCTGTGTGGCCAATTAATTCTAGAAGATGAACATGTGCTCATTATTACTGCCCTCTTGCAGAATGTGCTGCGGAGGGCATGGGGTAAAAAATTCAATGACAGAAAAATGTGAGATAAAATGTTTAGGCTGTTGCTAATTTTCATATGGAAATGGTGTGGATATGCGTTTTTTTCCATCTCAATAAAAAACAATTAATTTGCTGTGTCACATGGTCATGAAAATAGATAAATATTATTTTGCTGTTGATAACCAGTGAAAATAACAATAATGTGATAAACAGAAAGTGATATCAGTGGTATTGTTATGTTAGTGAGTTCAGAGAACGTTCTGATTGGGTGGAGAGGATGAACTGAGCGTTGCTAGGTTACTTGGACCGACTCCGCCCCCAGAGAAAACCCATGAACGAGGAATGTTTGAGAATTGCAGCCGTGGTGACACTGTTTGTCTTTACAAGGACCACAAGTCTATCGTTTTCCTGCGAGAGAGAGAGAGGAGAACAGCTTTCAACTTGAGCATGTGGTTGGACTATAATATTATATCATGTTGAAGGGGGAAGATTCTACCTTCCCTTTATGTACAACAGGCCGTGCCACAACAGGGCACACAGAGGTAACCCACTCACTGTTAGTGAGAGAAGTCCTGTCACTGAGACTGTGTGTAGTCCAGTAGTAGAACTGAAAGAGTCCAGAGATCTACAGGAAGTGAGAGGGGAAGAAGTTGAATGAGGTACTAACCCCAGTATTGAACTATAATAGACTTACGCCACTCTCTCATCGTAGCAGAATCCAAAGAGACAGACGCTAACTGTGACTAGTGGAGTAGTCTCATTTTTGGTAGGGTCTTGGTTGAGTGAGGAATTCAGGTGGAGTGTGGCTCCCATAAAGTAGTAGCCTCTCACTGGGGGGCAGTAGGAACCGTTGTAGGCCTCAAATGCTAGTGGACCCGTTGCATGGAGCCCTCTCTTGACCTGTAGTTTGCCAGCCAAAAATGACCAGGAGTCAGTGCGGTAATAAGTATAATAAATTATTGTATATACCCCAAAGTAGTTGCTGAGTTGGAGGGTTTGTCCAGGGCTGACTGTGGAATTGTGGCCCAGTTGTAGATGGAAGCCAATTGCACCACCATCGTCAATGTTGGCTGGCTGCAGAGAAAGAGAAAGATGACAGCAGGATCTACAGGGAGACTAGCTAATGGCTCACTGGGGGAGTCGTCACGTGAGTGTCGAGAAAACCTTGGAAGGAGCCAGGAAGGGGAGGACCATTGCTACTCTGAGGAGGCATCGTAACCTAGAGAAAGAACGGAATGGGAAGTCTCTCAATAGTTTGATCGCACCAGCCGGCGAGTAAGACCATTCTGCAAATACTCCGCATGCAGCTTACCGGAATAGCTAGAGCAGTCGGTAGTGCGACGAAGATAAGCAACGACAGTGCCATGTCTCGATTGTTGCTGTTCTCGCTATATAGCTCTGCGAAGAATTATGATGAACGCCTCGCCCGGTGTCGCACTTTTATACCGCTTGCGGTCGCGACACGCGGGTTCGGACAAACGCCCGCCGCACACGCACGCAGCGCCGTCGTTAATTACTAGCTGCGCGCGTGAGTTCCTGCACGCGCGTGTGCCGCGCCGTCTTGACTACCAACCCTAGGATCATCATCGTATATATACACCACTCAAGTATTATGTCATAGAACGAAAAACGCCACAAAAAATAAACGCTAGACTAAAAGTTGTCCAAAGTCAGATCGCCGTTCAGTAGTTGGAATGTGAGCGAGTCTCGTAGAGACCACTCTTGCTGATGTAGCGGACCCACTTCACCACGTCATGGTCACTGTAGTTTAGCTTCGGCTCAAACACCTGCAGAACAGAGAGAATTCCAGTCAGCAATACATTAAGTACAGGCTCATTCTAGTCACACCACATCCTGAGCAGTAACTTTTTCACTCAATAGCAACAATCTTAGAGGCTGAAATCTGTAGTTATACCTGCCATTCTCCTATCTTCACAGCTATTTGTGTGTAGCTGTGGCTATATTTATGCTCTGGTATAATTATTAAAAGTTGGCTAACCTTGAGGTATCGGACCTTCAGGCCGGAGCAGGCGAAAGGAACCTGTTGGGAAGAGGCAGAGAAACTCTTTGGCATGTCAACGGTGCATGTGACAGTCACGTGACCTCAAAGTTCATGGAGATGGGGACTCGTGCAGTCTGTTTGGTCTTGCTGGTGTCGGTAGTTGGGAGAAGTTCCACTTCAGCCGTCAGCTCACTCTGCCTCTGGCCCTGCATGTTCCTCAACCTGTATACAGACAGTTGGTTATATTCAGATGACCCATCTTCACAGGTTTCAGAGCACGGCCCTTCCCTCCCTCCCTCTCCTTACCTCCCTCCCTCCCTCTCCTTACCTCCCTCCCTCCTTCCCTCTCCTTACCTCCCTCTTTCCCTCTCCTTACCTCCATACTATGGAGCTCTCTCCTTCCCTCCCTCCCTCCTTCCCTCTCCTTACCTCCATACTATGGAGTTCTCTCCTTCCCTCCCTCCCTCCTTCCCTCTCCTTACCTCCATACTATGGTGTTCTCCCCTGTCTTGTATTTGGCCTTTCCTCTGAGAGTGATAATCTTGACTCCACTGGTGTTGGGAGGAATGGGGATTCGAACCTCCACCTTCTGAGCTGTCAGAGCTGCTTTGAACAGACTCTTCAGAGTCACCTGGGTGGTCGGATGTAAAGGGGTGTGGTCAGTGGGTGTGGTCTCCTTACCTTGATCTCCACATGGTTCTGTGTCGACAGTCTCACTAGAGGTATGACCCTAAAAGGGAGTGTGATGTCTTTAGTTGTGCGGTACCTGAGAGCAAGGAAGAGGAGACGAGATTCATCACATTCCGCCAGTGGGTTTGTTGTATTAATTGGTGTGTATGTATGTGCATGCATGCATGTGTGTGTGTTGTTTGCTTGCTAGAACATGTGATCAGAATTTGCATGAAGCTTGTGCAGTGCTGATTCTTTCCCTTCTCAGCCAGTCCACTAGATTGCACAGCCACGGGCACTTGGTGTAGAGGCAACTACTCCTTTTTCCTGCGTTTTGTTTTTCACATGCAACAAAACAACTAAAGAAGAAAAACTAAAACAGGAAATGATGAAAAATAGTTTGGAGATCTAACACACTGCCAGACACCACCTTCATGCCATTCTTACTAACCTGGCAATCTTTCCCAACTTCCTTGTCGACGACCCAAACCAACTAGGATGTGATGTCACATCATGCCTGTTTCACAGCTGGCAGGTAAGAGCTAGTTTACCATTATGTAAAGGGTTTACCGGAAAACCTGGTTAACAAGCGCAGCCGCAGTTATCAACAAAGATCAGTTAGCCAGAGAGAGCGGCGGTTGGGGGTATAGTATAGAAGGTGCTGCGATGCTCAAAAGGGTGTTATGGCATGATAATAGGCGAGGTTGGTCTGCTGATTGCGATAACTAAAACATGTGCTAACTTCCTCATTTAAAAGCCACATGTCATACATATCGACAACTGTCAGCCAGAGAGAGGTCTGGAGATAAATGGGTCACACTGCAGTGACGACAGCTGTTGTAAGAGCCGGAGATCCTAGTGGATTACTGTGATGCCCCCCAGAAAGGAAAGAGGGACAGGCTGGCAGCCGGCTGGCTCTGTGTGTGTGAGGTTGTTTGCAGTTTGGACTTACCTCATTAGCTCAAACTCTCCGTCTGGGGGTATGAAACTAATGCTCCTCTCCGATTCAAACTTGCTCAGTTTCACACACTGTAGCAGGCAGAGAGAGAGAGAGAGACAGAGAGAGAGAGAGAGAGAGAGAGAGAGAGAAAGAGAGACAGAGAGAGACACAGAGAGAGAGAGAGAGAGAGAGAGAGAGAGACAGAGAGAGAGAGAGAGAGAGAGAGAGACAGAGAGAGAGAGAGAGAGAGAGAGAGAGACAGAGAGAGAGAGAGAGAGAGAGAGAGAGAGAGTTACTGTGGGGTGTGAGGAGACCAACACATGCAGTGAAACTTTGAGACAAGAGTCTCAATGTATATATGAGCTACTATTTAAAGACCTGGCTTTTTCATGTATAACAAAGTTGCACCAACATATCAATCAGGGTGAAAGAGAGGAGGACCTGATGGAATGTGCAGTCGTCGATGGCAACACTGCGGTTGACCCCTCCCCCCTGTCTCTTGCTCAGCTGTGACTCCAAATTCTGAGCCTCGGGAGTGGACGGCTTGGCTTGTTTGTCAATCACCAGCTTATCATTCATTCCAAACTTGCACTCTGGCATGCCACTCAGATAGCTTTTCATGACCACTCGACCAGAGACATGGGCACTTAGGGCCTGCCCTGAGGGGAGAGAGGAGAGAGGTGGCCTAGTCTGCCCTCACATATGCCACCCGTGGCAAACTGTAATTACACCCCAACTTGATCACATTCCTTTTGCTGTAACGTGAAACTGAATTATAGTTTTACGCACTCACTGGCCAGCCCCGGCGTTGCCAGGACAACACAAAGGCAACGCAAACACGTTTGTTTGCATTCTCAAACACACACACGCAGCATGTGGAGGGCAGGGGGTAAGTGGGACCAGTCACTGCAGTGTACATGTGTTGGCTAGGCCTATTATCTAGGTGGACTAGAGCTGCAGAAATGAATGAGGGTTTGCTTCAGTACGCAGCCATAGGAGGCTCTGATGTCGTCTTTGGACCCATTAGCGCTGGCCTCTAGCCCATTTCACAACACCCATGCACACTGACAGATGAAAGAGAAGGGGAAAACCTAGAATTACCTCACCCCTAGCAACCCACACCACAACAAACACACCTTGTGGCGACATTAGGAGATTGACCGATTCAAGGACATCGAGAAAGAGTTCGTTTCGTCTGTACTTTATCCCCTCCCTTCTCCAGCCTATCTGCCCTGTCACTTGGCTCGTGATCTGCTTCTGTTCCTCCGTACTCTAGAGGGAGGGAGGGCAGGGTCCGGTTCTGGAACCAGGGAATGGGAGAATGGGTACCTGACTTCGGACCCCCTGCTGTGTGATGTAAGTCTTGAGAATTCCAGAGTCCGTTTTCTGGGGGTACCCATAGTCCAAGATTTCTGAAAGTAGATAGAGAGAGAGAGAGAGAGAGAGAGAGAGAGAGAGAGGTGAGGTAAATTATCGTCTAGTCTATCGTTGTCTACTGTACTGTATAATCTCTAAGTACAGTAGTACTTAGTATATTGGGATGATGCAGGTTATCCAGCATTAATCCGATTTCCACGTTTAACCTTTATGTCTAGTCACTGCATCCTATTATGTATACATGTTATGTTGTACTACCATGGTGACTGAGACCTGTTTGGAGGACCGATTTCCTTCGTTGTGTCTCTTAGTATACGTGTGCGTTTGTGTGCATAACATGTAATTAAGGCTTGTGAAAACACAGTTATGTCTACACCTAAAGGAGACAGTGACGTACAATAGAGAAAGTGGGAGGCATTAAGACATATGAAATAGACAGAGGCCTGAAGGTTGCAACATACCATCCAATAGATTAAGACATATGAAATAGACAGAGGCCTGAAGGTTGCAACATACCATCCAATAGCTCATAGATAAGGACAAAATTGTTCTTCACACTCTCCTCCGTGATGCTCCCGAAATACTGCTCCAAGACTTGCACCATCTTGTTCAGGACCTAGTCATGTGACCCAGGCCAGAGATCATGTGACCTGCACTACAAGTCATGTGACTGTACCTCAAACACGAGAGCTGCGTTGACGTTCTGTTTGGTACATGCGACGATCCAGACGCTGCCTTGCCGTGTGTGGAAGTAGCTAGTCCTCGCGATGATGGTGACTGGAGATCGCACGGCCTGCCTCGCGTGAATCACACTCACCTTGAATGCATCCACCGTGGTCCTCCTGCAGGAGAGAGAAGATGGCATATAATTATATGGTAGTTGCCAAAGCTTTTAGTTTGTAAATGCTGCCCGCCCCACCAGTAAATGCTGCCCGCCCCACCAGTAAATACCCAATCGCAACTTTATGTGACCAACTGGGGCGTGTTCCACCCATACACTTTTGTTGGCCAGCAAAAGCATCAAATACCATGCTCAAGCAAGAGTTTATGTTGCATGGTAGGTATTGTGAGGGGTGAAAAGAGGAGGCAGGAGGGATTGAGAAAAGAGAAAAGCAAAAGAGAGGAGAGAGGGTGTGACGGTGGGGCTGAGGTAAAGTTGCCTCACGTGATGTTGTCTCTGTAGACACGAGAGACCATGACCTCTCCCTTGTGGTTGTAGATGAAGACTCCCCCAATCATGGCTGCTCCCTGTGTGTGCGTGTGGTGGTATAGCTGGTAATTAGAGGGTCTTTCTCTTCCCTGGGGGCGTCACGTGAGCTAGAAACAACCTAACCCGTGTTGGGTGGGGCAACAAATTGGTTCAGAGCCATTCGTAGCTCAGAAGACGCGTTCTAACGCTTAAAATTCGGAGCTGCCGTTTTCTCTGGACCATAGTGCATGTACACTTTCTGCCTATCTCAGCACCATACCTTCTCTCTGTGTGTATAGAGCAGAAAAGAGTCTTCTACCTTGCCACCTCCCGACTTCCTTCCCCCGGCCGCTTCAAATTTAGAAAGTGCGCAGTGTTAAGTTTGCGCATATGTACGCGCCCACGCAAAAGGGGCGTGGTTTTATTCGTCTGGTACCCACGGTTGTGGAGTGGAATCAGGACCAGCCGTGGGTCGGGGGAGTGGCATCCTGCTGGTTAGACTCACCACTGATTGATTGGCGTGGGAAAAGAGCGAGAGAGACGCTGAGACTAGACTGTAGGTGGGCCGTCAGGCGCGCATCGTCTTGTCCGCTTCCTTTGGCCCGTATTCATCCATTCAAATCTGGGTTTTGCTCGTCCAGACTTGTGTCTGGCAAAGGTCAGCTCATTCTTGTTTTGTCTGTGTGCATGCAGAGAGAATAGACTGCTCTCTCCTTCAGTGGAGACTGCAAGGAACAGAGGGAGAGATGTATGCTCTGAAGGCGAGGGATAAGTACTACAAGAGGGAGAAGGAGAGGGAGGAGGAGAAGAGGGAGGGGAGGAAGGCAAGGAGCGTGGAGCAACATGCACACCATCACAGGTTGGCTGGGTGGGTGGAGCCAGCTGTGGGCGGAGCTAAACTCGAACAAGTCCTGCAAGTACAGTTTGACTGATTTGTAGGGGGAGGATGGGGTTCAAGTGAAAGGTCACAGATGAAGAAAATACCATGTGATGCCAATGTAGATGTACAGGAAGGAAATAATTATGAGCATTTGTAGTTTGCAACACAGTGTTGAGATATCAGACTGGTGCTGACTTTGTTCCCCAATGTCAACACCTGCATTTCTGTCATGTTTAACAATTATAAGTATGCCATGCGTGAAGAGAACATTATGTAACATTATGTAACGGTGACACTAGTGAGTGGGTCTTTGGTTTAATGTCATTGAGCATCAATCATCACATGGAAGACTTTTCAGAGCTGGAAGTGGTTTCTAAATGGGACGATGAGAGGGAGGGGGGTGGAGGGGCAGCTGGCCATGCAGGGGTGTCTCATTCACTGTATTGAGAGAAGCAGGCCGGACCTAGTGACTGAATAGGCCTTAGCCTCGCCACATCCCATTGGCTCTAGTACAAGTAGTGTGTATATCGTGCACATCCCATGTCCCCAGCCACCAATAGCAATATTTACTCGAGAGAGAGAGAGCCGCACAGATTTACTAAGAGATGTGTATACATACACATTGGGGTGTTTCTCCTGGCAACGGGGATGGGATGTATGTACATGATGTCATCACTGTGGGACAGTGGTCAATGAGATGTGGTGACTTTTGCTCTTGTTTCCCAACAAATACTCAGACAACACCTGACACTGTGTGTGTGTGTGATGCACATGTGTGTAATGGCCCGAGGGCTCCTAGCCATATGCACGTGCAATTCTAGAACATTCATTTGCAGCTCTGGGGCTAATGGGGGAGGCGGAGAAAGAGGGAGAAGAAAGGAGCCGTCCACATTCCAGAAAGATGCCAAAGTAAAGTGGTTATAGTGCAATTGACACCACTACGAACATCAATGACTCAATAGATAACATGACTCTAAACTGGGCAGAACATAGAATAATATGTTAGGTTCCGTCAATATTTTGAACACTCAATCAGTTTAACTTGTGCGTGACCTCAGTGTTACATGTGCGTGACCTCAGTGTAACATGTGTGTAATTGGTCACTGTTCCTGCACCTGAAGTAAATTCATGAGAACTACTGTTTAAGTGTCTTTACAACTAACGTAACTGTGTCAGCTACATCACATGTGGTGTGTTAGCCACTGCACCATTTCCCCTGTTCCCAGTACATGGGTACCTTCAGTCTCCAGATGGGGTCCGGGTGGAAGAAAAACATGACCAAACCGGTCAAACAACAGCTCTCCAGAATCAACCCCAAGGTCAGAGTCACATGACCTGTCACATGACTGATCACATGATGGTCACATGACCACAGGACACGACTCATGCAGTGGATGTGACAGTGTCAGTGAATATGGATGGAGTCAAAGTCATCTCTACTGATGGAAGAGTGAGCAATGTATTATACCTTCAGACAGCCTCAGCTCTCTAGGGTCCAAACGTCTTTTCCCCCAATAGTTCCTCATCTCGCTCCAACCTTCTCTCTCTTACCTTTTGTCCTACCCTCTATCTCACTCCTACCATCTTGCTCCAACCTCTTTCGTCTTTTACCTCTCTCCAGCTGGTGATGGCACATGCTCTCCATAGGATTCTGCTGAGCTCAGCAGAAACTAGGAAGAGCCTGTTTGCGATGGTGGCCAGAAATCCTCAGACAGACCCAAAAGACGGAGTCTACTGCCACATCTTTCTTCTCCGCACCAAAGAAGAGGCCAGTATACAGTGGAAGCCTTACTGAAACAAGAACACCTCTACCTCTGTAGTAATATCTGAGAGTGTTCTTAGGTCTTCCAAACCATTCTTTCTCATGAGCTAACCCTTACTTAATCTCTACTCAATGGAGATATGGTGGCAAGCCTCTCTAGATCTCTTTCTGCTCCACAATTCTCTCACTGCCCCTGTCTTTCTGTTGCCACAGGCCAATGAACTGAGTCAGTTGGTGGGTAAGGCCTTCAAGACTGCCTTTGCCTGCAATTCCTTCAAGAGAGACAGCAAGAAACAGAGCTCCATCCTCGATTCCATGCCACCTCATCTTCCCAGCGCTGCTCCCAGACCCTGGACTGTGACAACGCCCCCTCAGTCTGGCCACTCCCCTCAGACCACACCTCCTGGCCACACCCATCAGCTGGAGCCTATTTCCCGGCCTCCTCCTGCAGTCAATCCAGCAGCTGTCACTCCAGGAGTCTCCAGGTTTCTTTATGTTGGATATACAATGGTACAAGTGTGTTCTACTGCCGTAAAACCTCTGATAAACTCTCTCTTAATGTAATAGAGAAAGCCTCTCAATAAAGGATGCGGTTCGAAATGTTAACTTCCTATCATTCCAGTACATTTTTAACCTCCAAAGGGACGCGTACAACCTCCCTATATATAAAGAACAATTGCCTTGTCCCAATGTGTCCATTACCACTGTATATTCCCAGGAGGTGTTAACTGGTTGTCTGTCTCCACACACAGTGCCCAGGAAGAGAGTGTCCAGTTGGAGATGGACCTGCTCTCCCTCCACTCACAGCTCTATCAGCTGGAGACCAGGCAGTCACACCTCACCTCCTCCCCTGACAACACCGATGAGGGGACTCTCCTGCAATTAGTCATGGAGATTTCCTCACTTCAACAGCAGGCATGTCATGTGACATCACATGATCTGTCACATGACCCCAGCTCTCCCCTAGATTGAGGAGAAAGGGAAGAGACTGCATTCTCTGCAACAGCAGCCATCTGGTTCCCATAGTGATACTGTTGCCGAGGCAACAGGTGGTGGTTACCAGGACGATGCCATGGCAATGCTCCCTGATTTTGATAGTCTGTCACTGGATGATGCAGACTGGTTCCAAGCCGGTCTTCCTAGGTAACTAGTGGGTGTGGCTTACTCCTAGTTAATTGGTGGGTGTGGCTTATTTCTTGAACCGTGAAAGTGTTTGAGGGACAAAACTATAACACAGCCCATTTCCCTCCGTACAATTATACTTAGAAACCTCTGAAAATCGCTGAAAATACAATTTCTCAAACACTACCAGCCAGCATGCTTCGCTATATCGTATAGTCATATCAACATACATATGTAAATACACAGGGAGATAGTGGTGGAACTGCTGAGTCAGCAGCCAGAGGGAGCGTTCTTTGTTCGAGAGAGTGCCAGCTCCCTGGGCAGCTATGCTCTGTCGATGGTGGCTCCAGACAGCGGAGTGAGACATTTCCTTATTGAGGAGAGAGACGGCCACTTCTCACTGTCCCTCACTGTTAGTGTATTCAAGTCCCATATGTACTGTATGTTAGATGTTGAATCCAGGACACTATGTATGTGCATTAGAGAGGCGCCGTGGCCGAGAGCCGTCGGGACGCAGGGGTGCCACTTGGGGCCCCCAAGGCGCTCTAAACCTCATTAAGTAGTTTGCATCGACAAAGGTGTCTAACTTGGTTAGAGCTATGGCAACATGTGCATGTGTCAGTGCAGCTGAAACCACGAGAAGTGCTACTTCCTCATTGGGAAGTCAAGCAAGAGGTCCGGGGAAGACGCTGATGCGATTATGCAGCTCACACTGGCTGTACTATTGAGTCAGGGTACTGAGAATTTTGATAAATGAAGTTCTATTTTGGGGTGACTGAAGCAGGCTAGTTGTCAGAATTGTGTGTTAAACTACTTTAGAGAATGTCACACAGTGAGCTCATCATTATAATGCTAGTTGCTAGTACATGTCACAAGGTTCTCTCTACACTACCAACATTCCAGGGGTGGACCTTTGTGTGTAACAAGTCTTGATAGTAGGACTCACAAATCAAATCTGAATGTAGCAAGCTGGTGTATTGTAAGCTAACAGTGCAATCCCACTATCCTCCGTGCACAGGGCTCTGGTGTACTAACAGTAACTGAATGCAATCCCACTATCCTCCGTGCACAGGGCTCTGGTGTACTAACAGTCAGTACTGAATGCAATCCCACTATGCATGCCGTGCACAGGGCTCTGGTGACTAACAGTAACGGAATGCAATCCACTATCCTCAGTGCACAGGGCTCTGGTTACGTAACAGTAAACTGAATGCAATCCCACTATCCTCCGTGCACAGGGCTCTGGTGTACTAACAGTAACTGAATGCAATCCCACTATCCTCCGTGCACAGGGCTCTGGTGTACTAACAGTAACTGAATGCAATCCCACTATCCTCCGTGCACAGGGCTCTGGTGTACTAACAGTAACTGAATGCAATCCCATCTATCCTCCGTGCACAGGGCTCTCCGCAGCCGTCATTCCCCTCCCTGCCATCTCTCATACTCCATCACACTGTGGAGGCTGGCCCCCTCCCCTGTCCCCTCTCCCTAGCCACCACCAACCCTGTCTTCTCCGGTCAGCCCCTCTCTCTCTCTCTCTCTCCCAACAAACACTGCACCTTCACTCCTCACGGTGTTCTATAGGAATTATACCACAATAGTTTACTGTCAGTAAAACCTGAAAAGGGGGCACCTCGGTATAAAGGATTCTTGGTTCTCCCTCATTATTATTACGTCACGGGCATTTTGGCAAGCGTAACGTGAGTAGTTGAGAATCACCATACGGTATGTCTGGTGAAACATTCTCCCCACCAAATTCACGTTTACTACCGAAACATGGAAATTTTCTCTAGTGTCCAGCTATTACGTTTTTCTCTCTCTAGCTAACGAGGACCCCTCTGCTGGACTGGGTTCAGAGTTCACCGACCATCACAACTATCACTTACTGAACTGACACTCTCTACAATCATTATATCATCGTGATTAACAATTACATCATCTCTAACCTATTTATAGAGTGCAATGAGTGTCATCATCCCTAACCTTCTATTTATAGTGTGTGATGAAACATTAACAACTTCTAGTATTATAGCCATAATAATAAATTCTTATGGGCTCTGGGCATAATATATTATACCCACGGGGTTAATTTTTAAAAGAATCGCTCCTACTAGGTGCCCAGAGCAGCCATTTGAGGAACAGCAAACCAAACTGTCATTAAAAATTGCAGAAAATAAAATCACTAAAGAATCATCACCAAAATGTAATTATACAAAACAAGAGATATTAATACATGTACATGTCTCATGGTCTAATATCTTCATATATAAGAGAATGGAGAATGATTATAAGTACAGTGGTTTGGGTGAGAGAAAGCACAAATGAAGGTACAATGTTGTCTCGCGTTCGCAGGGCATTTGTGATGGATTGGGTGGGGAGAAAGTAACAGGCAGCAACAAAAATACACAATTACTGTATTGTACATGAGACTACAATACAACACTGCCTGTTAGTGAGAAAAAAGCACTTAAAAAGAAAAATGTGAAAGAGCAACAATTAAGTGGAGTGTGGGTAGCGGAGGTACAGGAGAAGAAAGAGGAGGAGGATGGCAGATCACTTGAGAGAGTGTTCAATGGAGGAGGCCAGGGGAGAGAGACCAATGGACTTGAGAGAGTCCGTCAGAGTTCTCCAGGTCACCGGCTGCTTCCCTTTCCCCCTCAGCCAGCGCCTCATTATCTCCATGGTGATGCTATCGGCATCCAGGTGACATTGAGATCTGATGGTTGGCATGATGGACCCATCGTTGTCCTCCAGTAACAGAGTCCCCAACATCTCGTAGTTCACTCCGACTTTCGTGATGATGTTGATGGGTTCTCCTGAGTGTGTGGGGAAACTGAGGAGCTCTGGAAGTGTCGGCTTTTCATCTGCAGTTGGGAAGAGTCACAGAAGAGTGAGGAGAGGAAGAATGAAAGGGGGAGAGAAGAGATGTAGACTCTTCAATTATACACCATGCAGGTTTGAGAGCATTTCAAGCCTTCATACTTAGCAAAGGGCAAAGGATTGTAGCTTTGGTTTTCAGAAACACACACAAACAGTCAGAGCTCACTCACCCATTCTGGAAGACGGAGAGGACGGGGAGGGAGGGTCAGTGAGAGACGACACAGGTTCACTAGTCGAGAGAGAAGTTGTAGCTGACTCGGCGACTGTGGAAAAGAGGAGAAAACACTATTATCAGTTTCAACACTGACTTAAATCAAAACAACAGAGTGTACACAAGACACACACACACACAATCCGAAGTCTCACCTGGAGCAGTTCGTGGTCCAAGCCACACCCTCTGAGCAGGTGTAAGGCCTCCTCGAATGTTCTTCCCCGTCAGTGTGCAGATGAGGTTGGAGTGGGCTTCATTTGGAGTGGCTGTGTGCACGTCGTCTGGGCTGCAGGGGCACTGGAAGGCTACAGAGGCTCGCGAATTCTTGAAGCGGAAAGCACTCGCTGCACTATCCACTGCATCCATGAGCATGTCACGGATTTCTGGACAGATGATGGGCAGGTCGGCCTGCGATGCATCGAGATGAACTTCGAAATGCTTCAAAGCATGGAGAAGAGTAATTTCAACTGCTTTTGTCGGATGCTGCAACCGCACGGCATTGCGGAAGAGACAAGCAGGAACTTTCTTACTTTTTACCATGGTGTAAGCCGTGGTCCACCCATACTTGGAGCGCATGCAGGTATGGGTGGAGCAGAACACACCTTTAGCGATGCGGGACATGTGGAAGTGGAGAAAGAGAGGGGACACGTGCTCACTGGGGGCAGGCACATATCGCTCCATATCCTTCTCTGCCACCGTCTGGAGCATGGCAGGCATTATGAACTCCCTCTCGTTCAGAGGAGCTACAATGTAAAGCTTCTCGAACAGCTTCAGAGCATCGCCTGCCTCAAACAGACCCCTCACGAAGCAACCACGGAACTCCTCTCCCTTCAGCATCTCGCTGCTCACCACCCCTTCCTTCCACAGTCGACACTCGCTCGCAGCCAGCCCTGCAATCGCACCACCCCCCACCCGGAAGCTGTACTGGACGATTCGATTTATGCTGTCCAGTGGCATCTGAGGGTCGACAAACACCGCACCAGGGAGGACCGACGGCACGTACATCCACACGCTCATCTTGTTGAAGAAAACCAAGGCAGCCTCCAGACTCTGTCGCTCCATCTTCAGCCTCCCAGCGATGGCCTGGAATTCCTCCATGCTCACTACCTTCTTTCTCTGCTCTTCCGCGTACTTGTTCACGTCGTTCAGCAACACGAGGAACGCTATCGGGGTATCCACATCCAGGGCCCCGCTCAAGTCCGCCACTTTCTCGCGGATCAGATCGAAGCATTTGTCGTCATTCTCGTCGGGATTCTTGGCGTTGACGGCAAAGATGATGTCGTCGCCATTCATGACCAGGTTTTCCTCCAGAGCCGGTAGAAACAGGCTGGCCAGCCTCTCGTTCTTCTGCTCCAGGGTTTCGTCGCACTCGTGCATCAGATCCCTGTGAGTGCCGATCACCATGAACCTGGTGTGCATGCCTTCGCTGCCGGCCACGGGCTTGCACATCATGGTGTGGACAAACTGGACCACCATCTGCTCGTTGGTGAGCAGTGAGGGGCATTGCTCCGTAAACCACTTTCCTTCCTCGTCGGTGAAGGCATTGGTGCACAGAGCATCCAGACGCTCGTTGAGCTTGATGAAGACCAGGACGAGGGACACGTTGTGACTGAAGGCTGCAACGACCTCGTGGAATTGAGGCTGTCCTCCGCTGTCCAGGAACAGGATTATCTGCAGCTTGAACAGTGGCTCTTCTTCTGGACTTCACTATCCTACCTTAGCTTCAGCCTCGGCCCTGGCTTTTGCTGGCAGCACAGACTGCACCGACTACAGCTGTTGAGCTGCCTATCACTGAACCGTGCCTACACTACTTGCAGCTACACCCTCACTTCTATCAGATGAACTGGAGCCTTCGCTAGCAGCCTGCACCATTTCTTTCACCACTTTCGCTACCCTTCCTTTAAGCAAACCCTTGCGAACCACGTAAGCCAGAAATTGATTGATATCCTCGTACTTGAGTAGTTCGAACCCCTCTGCAGAAGGCA